TCCCCTGCTGCTTCTGCTGCCGCTGCTAAGCCAGAACCAGACACTGCTTCCCCTGCCTCCGCTGTTCTCCCTGCCCCTCCTGCCCCTCCTGCTGCCCCTGCCACCCCTCCGCCTGCACCTGTGCCTTGAGACTCCTCCGAGCCCGACGTGCTCGCACTCTCCACCAACGACCCACCCACATGCCTCTCCCTGCCGCCCTTGTCCATCCCACCGCTCTTGTCATTATTGCGGCGCCCCAACAGAGTCATCCAACTGCTAGAAGGGGAAATCTTCCCTCCCACTCCTTTCCCTCCATCCCCATTGCCACTAGCACGAGCACTGCTGCCATTCCCACTGCTGCCATTACCCGAACTGCTAAAACTGTTGCTATTGCCACTGCCATTTGAAACCCCCTCTCCGTTCTTCCCCCCAACGTTCCGCCCCCCTCCGCCCCCTCCGCTGCCTCCGAAGCTATTCCCTAAGCTGGCGCTGCCACTGCTCCCACTCCCAGCCACCGGGCCCACCCGAAGCTTGTTGATACGTTCGGCCCGAAGCTGGAGCTCCGCAGGGAGGCGCGCGTAGCAGGAGAAGCAGAGGCAGTGGCTGTCGAGGCCGCACTGGGTGCGGGAGGAGTGGGGGGAGATGCGCGTGTGGCGAACACAGTACACGCCCTGGCACTCACGACAGTAGTGCTTCAGAATGCTGTGCCTAAGCCCGTCAAGAGTGTACCAGCGATCAAAGCGCACGCGGCAGCCTTCCGCGTTGCACCTGTACTTGAAGCTAACAGACTTCATTGATTCCGTATCCTCATCTGATGCCGCCTCCTGAACCCGCCCGCTCTCCCCCCACCCGCCTCCCTCCCCTTCCTCCCCTTCCCACTCACCCGCACGATAAGCCCTTCCGCCTGCCTCCCTTCCCCCCTCGTGCCCGCCCCTAGCCAGCAGCCCATTCCGCGGCATTCCCCCTTCGCTACTGCCAAACGACGCCTCCCCTTCCTGCCGCCCGGAAAGCTCATCGTACGACCTGTTCCGAGCCACACGCCTCATCCCCTGCCCTCCGCCCATCCCTCCCCCTGCAGCCAAACTCTCCCCCCCACCGCCACCCCACCCCCCTCTAACCCCCCGCCCCCCTGCCTCCCCCGCTTCCCCCAACGCATTTCCTTCACCCGCTCCTAGTCCCCCGTCCGCCTGGTCCCCCAACCCGTCAGACCACCTTCTTGCGGCTCTGCTGCCACTGAAAAACGGACTTATCTCATAATCCTCCCCGCCCTCATCGTCCCCAGGCGATACCAGCACAGTGATCACGCGGTGCAGTAGCGCAGAGACGCGCGCAGACGCCGCGCGGAAGCCCAGAACGGCGCGCGCGGCGGCGCGGACGAGGAGGAAGGGGCTGGCGGGGGAGGGGGAGAGCGCGGAGGCGAGGGGGCGGAGGAGGCGGTGCGCGGAGGCGGCAGCTGCGAGGACGAAACGGAAGAAGAAGCTATGGCGGGAGAAAATCCCGAGCACGAGAATCCCGCCATTGACCGACCAGATGAAGCTCCAGAGGGGGGAAGACGAACCCGCTTCCCCCTGCCTCTCCGCCTCCTGCCCTACCTCCTTCGCGCTTTGCTCTGCCGACTCCACCGCTCCGTGCCTGCCGCCCTGCTGCCCGTCTGCCCCTGCTCTCGCTCCTCCTACTGCCTCCACTGGTACTGCTCCTGGCCCTGGAACGGTTGAAGCAGTTAGAACGTACTCCGTGCCCCCAACCGACTCCAACCGTTTCTGCCACGACCCACCCCAACCCTCCTCCTTCTCCGCTCCAGTAACGGCAACTATATCTGATGCATGCGCGTGGCTGTGCCCCTCTGCTCCTGCTGCTATGGGTCTCCCAAGAGGCTCCTTAACTGGAGGCTTCAAAGAGTGATGCTGCTGATGATGCTGGTGGTGCTGCTGCTGCTGAGGCGGATGCACGCCCATAATGCAAGCAACCCCATCCGCGCCAGTAGCTAACGCTCTACAATGATCAAGCACCACCCACTCCGAAGGCCCATGCCCGCCCCACGCCTGTATCCGATACGTGTACTCAGTCCCTGGCTTTAACCCTGCCGAATCTAGCCACGCGTCTTCAGACGTGTCCCCCACGTCCTTCCACGACGCCACGCGCGTTGCGACGCGTCTCTGGATAAGGTACTTGTGGACAGGTGGCACGCCGGGATTGGCTGGCGGGTCCCACTGAACAGCAATGGCGCCACACCCAGCAGACTCGCACTCTAGGTTGGTGGGAGCACCAGGAGCCTTCCCTAAGCCGAACACCTGGCGGAAAATTGCTGTGTGGATTTTATGCCGGTGCAGCGCGCTTTTCACCCCGAGATCCTCTTTAAGAAACGTTCCGTTATCGGATATAAGCGTGGGGAAATCCAGGCCGTCGATTGAGTTGGCCCTGAAGACTTCCGCGTACTGGGGCAGCCGTAGGCCATGGACGATCCACGCGACCACCTTCTCCCCTGTCAGCATGTGACTCAGATGATCCTGCACGCAGGGAACCCAAGGAATCAAGGTGACTCTGGAGCTATCAAGGGGACACGCATGCCATGTTATCATTCACCCATGATCGGATTCATTGATTCATGCCAAAGATAGCTCGTCATTCAAGTACGTTTCGAGGCATCTCGAAACGGATGTACAACCACGTACGCTCATCTCGGCGGTGGAGATGCTGCTGCCGCCATAGCTGAACGACATGTCCAGGCGGTGGTCCGCCATGAGATCCGCCATGCTCGACTCGCCGCCGCCGGTCTCGCTCTCACCCGTCTCGCGCTCGCGCTCCCCGCCCGACGCCTCCGCTTCCTGCTCCTCGAATCGCTTCTCCTCCTCCAGCACACGCGCCCATAGCTGTCATACACCATTCATCATTCATCATCCATCATTCATCATCCATAATCCATCATTCATCATCCATCATTCATCATCCATCATTCATCATTCATCATTCATCATCCATGATTCATAATTCATCATCCATCATTCATCATCCATAATTCATAATTCATCATCCATCGTTCATCATCCATCATTCATCATCCATGATTCATCATTCATCATCCATCATTCATCATCCATCATTCATCATCCATCATTCATCATCCATCATTCATCATACATCATTCATCATTCATCATTCATCATCCATCAGTCATCATCCATCATTCATCATTCATCATTCATCATTCATCATTCATCATCCATCATTCATCATCCATCATTCATCATCCATCATTCATCATCCATCATTCATCATCCATCATTCATCATCCATCATTCATCATTCATCATTCATCATTCATCATCAATCGCCAGAAAAAGGGGACGAAAGAACCGGGCTAGCTTTTCAGTAACGTCAAGCTATGTCGTATGTAACCCTAAACATTCCTCATCACATCAGCCTCCCTGAAATGTCACCCTTCAAGCAGAAACTGGAAATGGGATCGAATGAAGAACGCGAGGGACGCGCGCACCTGGTGGGCCTCCTCAGGGCCGATCTCGCCGTCGCCATCGTGGTCCGCGGCGTGCACGAAGCTCTCCACGCTCACCACCGGCGGCAGTTCTGCGCATGCACGCACCGGCGCAAGTTCAGCGAGAGTTGAGATGGATAAACAGAACAGGCTAGCGCGGGTAGGGTTACGGAACAGGATTCGTAAGCCGAAAGAACTTGAACGGCAGACCAGTCTGACCTCGGAACGTGTGACGTCAGCGGAAAAAAATCTGAGATGGGAGTATAATGAGTACCTTCCGATACAGTCGCTTGGAGACAGATGATCATGAGAAGGAGCGTAACGACGACGGCTAGATGTCTCAAGCCTCGCCATGGCTTTGAGACCATAGCTCTCGGGAACGCCGTGGAGCGAAGGTGGTTGCTGCGAGCAAATCGTTTAGAATTTGGCATGTGAAAAGTGAAACAACCAGGCAGTTGAGGCTCTTTTTTTTTTACCAGCAAGCAACTACATGGGTGCCTGGTCAGCGCTCTGTCCTAGCTTCGAGTACGACTGCGGAAGAGTCGATGCCAGTGATAGAAGCTGGGATGAGCTGAAATATGCAGTTTACAGCGAGGCATACAAATAAACATGCTCGGAAAAACTAGGGGTCGGCAGCAATCTTGTGGGGAGAGTGTGGGCATGTGGGGGTGGTGGAGAGAAGAGGAGAGGAGGGGAGCAAAGCAGAGCAGAGAGATGGTGGAGCAGCATTGAGGAACCCAATCCAACATGGGAGTGCCAGAACAGTTCCTTGGTTCTTGCGCACGCCCACAAGAACGAGATAACGAATCGAGAGCGTTCATTTATCAAGCTTCGAGCACTCACAGCGGTTGATCTGCATTTTGGGTAACTTCAGCAAGTTTTGGCGACTATGGGAAGGGTTCGTCAATGTCTTATCATGATTTCGTGACAGGCTGATAGCAGCTCTTGACCAATCAGCTGTTCGAGACTTTTCGTCCCGCAGGTTAGAGGCCGAAGCGCAGAGCTCCCGCAGGTTTTCTTTCGCTGCTGGTCAGGTTTGAAAAGGCCGATGAGCTGCCCTTGTCCACCACCATCCTGAATACTTGAGTTTCGAGGCCAATGATTATGTGCCACCTAAGCATGAGCGGGTCACGCTGACAAAGTTCGCCGAGGCTAGCATGCTTGGCCCAGACCAGGGCCGCGGAACAGGGTTCAGTGATCGCCGCGTCTGGTTCAGGTGGAGCAAATGGTACGACGTCCACAATTGTACATTACCTGGTACCAATTGCTGAAACATGCAAATCTGTTGGAAGGATCTGGAATAAAGTGTATCTCATTGCAATAGGATGTACCAATCTTGCCCATATAGAGGATTTCGCTGAGGATTCTAGTACCTACATGCACTCCTATTTAGAAGCTACTGTACATGATTCCTACCGTCCCTTCCACTTGCTAACCCTGATTTCAAGCTACCCTGAAGTGGGGCCCCTTATCGTTATCAGGCAGTTGTTTCGAGGCCAGCAGCAAGTTCGTCGTACTGGTCTCGTCGCCGATGGCAGATTTAGCTAGCCTTGGCGGAGTATCAGCAGCGGTTGGTTCAGAAGCAAGGTCGCTCTTTTCACACAGCCTGGAAAGAGCTAAAAACCGATCCGCAGATGAGAAAACCGATCCGAAAGATTCAGGGCTTGTGCAATACGCAGATGACGAGGAGGATAGAAACGAGGAGGACGACGAGGAGGGGGACGAGATTCGCGTGAGCGGAAGACGCGGTCATTTGGAGGTCCGGCGCGAGTGTCCGTACCTTGACACGGTCAACCGGCAGGTACCTTGACACGGTCAACCGGCAGGTACCTTGACACGGTCAACCGGCAGGTACCTTGACATGGTCAACCGGCAGGTCTGCTCTTAACACTGGGCCGACGATTGCGGATCACAGGAAAAACGCAATTTTGACTTCTCCGTTTTAAAACACGGGGTCTCTGTTTCCCCAAACCCGTCCATTCCCCCTTTCCCCACACCCCCCCTCTCCCCCCCACACCCCCCCCCCCCCCCCCCCCCCCCCCCCAGCTCCTGGATTTCGACTTTGAGAAGTTCTGCTCGGTCTCTCTCTCGAATCTCAACGTGTACGGCTGCCTGGTGTGCGGAAAGTACTTCCAGGGCCGCGCGCGCTCGTCGCACGCGGTGACGCACAGCGTGGACGCGGGGCACCACGTGTTCATCAACCTGCACTCCGAGAAGGTCTACTGCCTGCCTGACGGATATCAAGTCTCCGACCCCTCGCTGGACGACATCAAGAGCGTGCTCAACCCGCGGTGAGTGCTGCTATGCTGTCTAGGTGAGTGCTCATCTGAACCCCCGCCGAGTTCGACGGCTACCAGGTGTCTGACCCGTCACCGGACGACATCAAGAGCGTGCTCAACCCGCGGTGAGTGCTGCTGTGCTGTCTAGGTGAGTGCTCATCTGAACCCCCGCCGAGTTCGACGGCTACCAGGTGTCTGACCCGTCACTGGACGACATCAAGAGCGTGCTCAACCCGCGGTGAGTGCTGCTATGCTGTCTAGGTGAGTGCTCATCTGAACCCCCGCCGAGTTCGACGGCTACCAGGTGTCTGACCCGTCGCTGGACGACATCGAGAGTGTGCTCAACCCGCGGTGAGTGCTGCTGTGGGGGCACACGTGTAGGCATGGGAGGCAGCTGCTGAGGGCTCGTACCAAGCGGGGCACCACGTGTTCATCAACCTGCACTCCGAGAAGGTCTACTGCCTGCCCGACGGATATCAAGTGTCGGACCCGTCACTTGTTGATACCAAGAGCGTTCTCAACCCGCGGTGAGTGCCCCTGAACCCCCGGTGAGTGCTGCTATGGACCTCTTGTGAGTGCTGCTGTGGTGGCACGCATGTGGGCATGTGGGGAGGCTGAGGGTTCGCCCTAAATGGGGCACCACGTGTTCATCAACCTGCACTCCGAGAAGGTCTACTGCCTGCCTGATGGGTACCAGGTGTCTGATCCGCCGCTCGATGACATTAAAAGCGTGCTCAACCCAAGGTGAGTGCTGCGCTGCTCGTTCTGCCTGATGACTGCTGTTCTGAACTCCCAGTGAATGTGGCTTTGAAGTTTCATTGAGTGCTGCTCTTTCTCCCCTGTGGGTGCTCAACCCTTAATGAATGCGGTCCTCGCACACTTGTCTCTGGCATGATCTAAACCCCATCCTCTCGTCCTCTTGCTCACTCCCCCATTTTCCCTCTCTCCCTTTCAATATTCTGCATCTCATTTTGACGTCATGCTGACGTCATCAGGTTCACTGCCGCCCAGATAGAGCAGTTTGACCGCAGCAAGCAGTGGGCTCGCGCACTGGACGGCACGGATTACATCCCCGGCATGGTGAGTGCAGTGTGATTCAGTCAGGGTTATGGTGGGTGGGTGCAAGGTGGCACAGGTAGCGCAGTGCGACTGCTGCAAGCAGTGGGCTCGCGCACTGGATGGCACGGATTACTTCCCCGGCATGGTGAGTGCAGTGTGATTCAGTCAGGGGCTATGGTGGGTGGGTGCAAGGTGGCACAGATAGCGCAGTTCGACCACAGCAAGCAGTGGGCTCGCGCATTGGACGGCACTGATTACATCCCCGACATGGTGAGTGCAGTGTGATTCAGACAGACTTAGGGTGGTGAAGGGTGGTGAGGGATGACAGGTGGTGAGGGGTGTGGGGTGAGATGTGGCGTGGAAAAGTGGGTTCATTTTTCTATTTTTCTCTCCCTCCCCCTTCACTCCTTCCCCATCACCCCTCCCTCCTCTCTTCCACCCTCTTCCACCCCCTTCCACCCTCTCAGGTGGGTCTGAACAACATAAAGGACACGGGGTATGTGAATGTGATCATCCAGTCGCTCATGCGAGTCACGCCGCTCCGCAACTTCTTCCTGCTCCCCGCCAACTACACGCCCGCCTCCCACTCACCCGCCGCCCAGCCCACTGCGCTCGTGCGCCGCTTTGGAGAGCTCGTGCGGAAAGTGTGGCATCCAAGGAACTTCAAGGGGCAGGTGCGTTGAATGGAGAGTCTTCTTCCGATTACCTGTTCTTTGGTGACCGTATTGCGCAATTTCTTGATGCGCAATTTCTTGATGCTTTGGAGATCTGGCACGGAAAGTGTGGCATCCAAGGCACTTTAAGGGGCAGGTGTTGTGAAGTGGAGAGTCTGTCCTATTTATCACTATGTCTGATGCTCTGTTGACTCTTTGGTCTTACCCTACATCCCCCACGTCTTTCCCCTCTCGCCCCACATCTTCCCCTCCTCCCTTCCGTATCTCTCAGGTCAGCCCTCACGAATTCCTGCAAGCCATCATGCTTGCGAGCAAGAGTCGGTTTCTTATCGGCCAGCAACTCAACCCCCTTGACTTACCCTACCACCACACCTTTCTTCCTTCCCCTTCTTTTCCTGCCAGGTCAGCCCTCACGAATTCCTGCAAGCCATCATGCTTGCGAGCAAGAAACGATTCCTAATTGGTCAGCAGTCCGACCCTCTCGACCTCCTCTCCTGGCTGCTAAACACTCTCCACGCAGACTTAGCTAAAAGCGCTGCTGCTGCAGCTAAGGCCGCAGGCAAAAAGGCGCATCATATAAGCTCCATAATCCAGGAGTGCTTTCAGGGCGAGCTGGAGGTGACTAAAGAGGTCGCAGGGAAGAGCAGCTGTGTGGAGGATGGGAAGAAGCGGAAACGGGAGGGGGAGGAGGGGAAGGAAGGGGAGGGTGAAGGGGAGAAGGAGGAGGATGGGGTGAAACGGGAGGTCAGCCGGATGCCGTTTCTCATGCTGGGCTTAGATTTGCCTCCTCCCCCGCTTTTTAAGGATGTAATGGAGAAGAATATTATTCCCCAGGTTCCCCTGTTCAACATTTTGAAGAAGTTTGACGGGCAGACCGTGACTGAAGTGGTGCGACCGCATCCTGCCCGTATGCGGTATCGGATCACGCGGTTACCGCGGTACCTCATCCTCCATATGAAGCGATTCAAGAAGAACAATTTTTTCATAGAGAAGAACCCCACTCTTGGTGAGTGAGTGCACCCGTCCTCCTTGTAGCTTGTGCAACAGGCACCCTTGGTTTATCGTGGCTTTATTGATTTTCTTTTTCTTTTTTTCCAGCAGCACATTTGCTCCCATCGCATGTGAGCATGTGGTTTTTTAGCTGAAGGACTATGTGCCACTGCAGGAGGTGCCATGCAAGGGTATCATATGTACACATCCCCCACTTCCCCTCTCTGCGTTTCCCCCCTCCGCTCTTCCATACCTTCCCTCTCGCTTGGCCAATCTCCTGGTGAAGAACCTTGAGCTGAAGGACTATCGGCCACTGCAGGAGGTGCCACACAACGGCCCAAGTCATTCTTATGCACCATACTCTTCCTCCCTTTCCTCCCTCCAACCTTTCCTACCTTTTCCCCCCTCTCAGTGAACTTCCCCGTGAAGAACCTTGAACTGAAGGACTATCTGCCTCTGGAGGGGTTGGAAGGCGGGGGGAAGCTTCGCAGCAAGTACGACCTGATAGCCAACGTGGTGCATGATGGCAAGCCCGGGGAGGGCTCGTACCGTGCGTTCGTGCAGCGGAAAGCAGAGGAGGCATGGTGAGTGTTTGTGTTGTCGAACAAGCTTTGTTGCACTAGCCGTGTACCACAGTCATTGATTGCCAACGTGGTGCATGATGGCAAGCCCGGGGAAGGCTCGTACCGTGCGTTTGTGCAGCGGAAGGCGGAAGAAGCCTGGTGAGTGGGTGTGTGTGTTGAATGAGCCGTATCCAACGAGGCGTGTGCAGCCTGATTGATTGCCAACGTGGTGCATATGGGAAGCAGCTTGGCGAGGGCTCGTACCGTGCATTCGTACAGCGCGATGCAGAAGAAGCATGGTGAGTTGGTGTCTTGTTGAACGACGATTCAAGAGGGCACGGCGAGTGAGTGGGTGCACTAGAGTGGCGGTCTCTTCTCTTGAATGCGCAGGGAGAGACCTCCACAAATGGGAGGATGAGATCGGACATGAGCTGACACGCAGATGACCAAGCTTCTTCATGTGCCTTCCCTCCTGCTGTATTTCCTGTCTTTTTTCTACTGTCCTTGGTGAACCCACAGGTATGAGATGCAAGATCTACATGTGACAGAGACGCTACCGCAAATGGTGGCTCTTTCTGAAGCGTATATCCAGATTTACGAGCAGCAGTGGGATTGAGTGAGGTACTGTGGCCTATGTGGTGGGTGCAACTGTTTTAAAAACAGAAGTAAACTTAGTGCCAAAACAAGACATGGATTGTACCATATGTACTTGCAGTGCAGTGTGCTTGCACCACACAAGTCTGGTCCTGTCACCGGTAGGGAAACTGGACAGAACATCAAAGCAACTGCTGTGGTGCCCTCAAAACACACCCACCCACACAGCTCTCATCTCACTCTTCCTCACTCCTGCATCCCCTCTCCCTTCGAATCCCTCTCCCCTCCCTTCCCCACGCCCACCCCCTTCTAGAACATGTAGCTGGGCGCCGTGGGTCGCGTGGGCTCCGGCCCTGCTTGCGGCATCTGGGCAGCAGTATCCTCTACAGGCAGACTCGTTGTTTGCACAGGCAGATCTCGCACCATCAACGGCTGGCCCACCCTGTTCGGCGCTACAGTAGCACCTGCGGAGGAGTCCAACCCTTTCCACTCGTTCGCCCCCGCATGCTCACCCTCCTCTGAATCCCCATCCTCGTTCTCATCCTCCTCGTCTTCATAATCGTCGTCGTCTCCCGGCGATTCTTCCGACCCAGGCGCGCTTATCCCCGCCTCCTCCTCCGCCACCATCGCGTCTTCGTCCGCCTTCTGCGCCTCCGCCGCCAGCCGCTCCACGCGCTTATCCGCGGCTTCGCGCTTCTTGGTTACCGCCTTGAGCTGCTCCTTCGCCGCGCTCACCTGCGCCGCGGCTGTTTTCATGCTACGAGTCGCCTCCTTGAACTCCAGCTCTGCTACGTTCACCTGCGCGTCGGCCTGCGCCGCCAGCGCTTCCGCCGCCTGAATCGACTCGAATTGTGCTTGCTCCTCCGGCGTCGGCGTCGCGCTCGGCGACGCCGCCGCCGCCCTTGCCGCCGCTAATTTCGCCGCCGCTTTCGCTTCTTCCTTCGCCGCTTCGTCGGCTTTCTTCTTCAATTCTTTCGCCTTCTTTTGCTCCTTAGCATACGACGGCGAGCCGCCATACGCCTGCGCGTATCCCGCCTGCGTACCGTAGCTCGACGGCTGTAGCTGATTCAGAATATCTTGCTGGGCGGCATAAGCCGCGTCGGCCTGCTCGCGCTTCTGCTTCGCCTCGTTGTATTTCCGCTCCGCCTCCGCTACCGCCGCCTGCGCCTTGGAGTAACCCTCGTACCGCTTCTTCGCCGGCGCAGTCTTCCGCGCGGCTGTGGCGGCCTTGCGCGCGCTCACTGCCACCGCCTTGGCGCTGTCGAGCGCGGTTCGCGCCTGCGCCCACGACGCCGCCATCGCTTGCGCATCGGTCTTCGCCGCGTCGAGATTATCCTGCGCGTCGGCTTCCTGCTGCTGCAGCAGCGACGCGATTTGCTCCGCCGCGTCGAGCTGCGCCGCCTTTTGGTCGGCGATCGCGCGGAGCCGCACGGCTTTCTCTAGGGGCGTCTCGTATTTACGAGCTCCGTAGCGGCCGTACCTTACGGCTGCGGCATCGATGCTTAGGAGGGTGAATAGAAGGAAGGTGGTGACGAGTCGAACTGATGAAGTTGCCATGGCGGGCATGCTGTGGTTTCTACGATGGTGGCTGTAAGTATGTAGTTGGGCAATGTGCTCGGGCCGCTGCGCCCAGTGAAATGTTATTTCGGGAATGCCGAGAGTTGGTAGACGATTCTATACCTAGCCTCGGATGGTATAGCCTTTCAAGTGTGGAAACATGTGGCAATGATTCCAACCAAAAGGGTTGAGGAAATAGGTTGATGTGTGAAGGAGGAGCGGGAGAGGCGGGGTGGGGCAAGAAAGTTGGAATACACGTAGGTCGAAGCTGTGAGGTTGAGCTGGAAAAGACGAAGACTGGCGAGGGACGAAGGAGTCGCCTTCCATGAACGCGTTTCGGCCATATTCTTGGTGAGAAGCCTCGGCGACTGAACGACTACTGGTAACTTTAAACAGACTGGTTGACGAAACCAGTCAGCGATGCTGGGGGACGGCCGTAAAATCCAGGTGGCTTTTCAGCTCCGACCCCAATTCCGAGCCCAGGAGAACTATTTGTAGAACCTGCAAATGCACATGGCCAGGCCACGTCAGCTGCTGCTCGGCGAAGCGAAGCGACCCGCGGTGGGTGGAAGAGCCGACAAAGATACAGTTTCGCTCAGGTCAGATCATGAAGGGGCTCAGGTGGGTCTCTCCATTGAGAAGCGCGTGATTTCTGCACTCTGGTTTGGCTAACAGAAACTTCAGTTACACCCACGGTACATGTTTAACTGCTGTCTGAGGAGGATCACCACCACTGACCATTAGCACTGTCTGCAGTTTCTTCATGCACCTGATAACCAAACAAACAGCAAGATGTTTAAAACAAATAGCTAATAACCATGCACTATAGCAAGCTTTCTCACTCAAGCTGTTAACTGCAGCTAATAGGCAGCCAAGGCTTGTGGCGACGGACCCTGCGCAGTTTGGGCTACAGCATGCAGTTGGACCCAGACGACGAGTCATGTATCTAAATGTTTATTGCACCTAGCTAGTGTGTTCCGAATGTAAATGTTGCATGGACAAATAGCACAATTTGATCACTCCTTAGGCACAAGAGATGAACATATGCAATCTAACAAGCGTACAAGGGCGTGGTCAGGTCACACATCCACTACGGTATGTTCTGTGGCCCAATTCACTCTGTCGTGGTGCAAAGCGGCAAACCTAGGGAACCACTTTTCACCACAAGAAACCATCCAGAGCCATGAATCATGAACTGTAATGTATGACCTGACCACGCCCTAAACACCGTTATGCCCACGGACCATCATCACATCAACCAAACAGCCAGCTCAGTAGGGAGTGGCTCCCCGCGGCCTGCGGCTGCTGAGTCGCCTGGACTGCCGTGCTAAGAGACGGCGTTACACCCGCCGCCGCCTGCCTCGGTTGCGCGGATTGCAGCGCAAGAGAGTCCTTTCCGAACCTCCCGCCCTTCCCGTACCCGTTCCCGTTCCCCCTCTGCCCTTCACCCTTATCCCCGCGCCAGCCCTTGCCCCATCCGTTCCCGCCGTGTCCGTGTCCCCGCTCGTGGTCGTCGTCGTCTTCATACTCATCGTCGCCATCATCATCGCCACCGTGAGGACCATCGTCGTCGTCGCAATCGTCACCATCGCCACCATAGTCGCCGCCAGGCGGGGAAGGGTCCGAACCAGGTGCGGGGTCCGACCCAGGCGCGGGGTCTGATCCCTGCGCGGGCGTCTGCGAAGCCTCCCACTCTTGCTCCGCCGCCAACGCCAGTTCCTCCGCTGCCTGCGCCTCCGCGGACGCCTTCTCCGCCACTTTCTCCGCGGCTACGCGGAGAGATTGCGCCTTGGCGCGCTTGTTCTTTGCGCGGGTAACCTTCTCCGCGGCCGCCTTCACGCCCTGCTCCGCCGCTTTTGTCTCTGCATCCGCCACCCTCGCGTTGGCTTCCGCTTGCGCCGCCGCAGCGTCCGCTGCGTTTGCCGCATCGAGCGTCGCCTTCTCCTGCGGGGTCAGCGTGGCGCTTGCAAGGGCGCTTTGCGCCTTGGTCAGCGCAGCAGACGCCTTGCTCTCCTCCTTCGACGCGGATTGAACGTTCTTTTGAAGCTCCGCAGCTTTCTTCTGCTCCTTCGCCGCCCTCTGCCCAGCAGGACTCCGCGCGCTCAGGCCCGTGGCGGCGGCGGAAGCGCTGCTCGCAACGTTATGCTGCGCGGCGGCTGCGGCCTCCGCGTTCTGGCGCTTCGTCGTCGCGTCTGCAAGGTTCTTCTCGGCAGTCTTGACATTGTTCTGCGCGGCGGTATAAGAATCCACCCTCTTCTTCATCGGAGCGAGGCTCGCCTTAGCGGCATTCGCGCTCTTTCGTGAGTTAGCGGCGGAAACTTTCTTCGCGTCCGACGTCTTCTTCGCCGTGCTCCATGCCGCCGCCGCGTCTTGCGCCGCCACTTGCGCCGCATCGACCTCCGCGGCCGCTGCCTGCTCCGCCTCAAGCCGCGCGGCCACGGCGGACTGCGCGGCGTCCAATGCGGCTGCTGCCTTGTCCGCTGCTGCGCGCAACCGCGCGGCTTTCTCCGCCAGGGTCTCCTTCGGCGCGGGTTGGACTCTAGCGTGCGCTGTTAATTGACTCGTAAGCGCGAGGAGGAGCAAGGCCAGAGGGAGGAATCTAGTTCCGCCGGTCGTCGTCATACCGAGATGCGACGGTTTGGGACAAAAAACAGCGCTAAATAATTTGCTGCGTTCAGTGCGCGTTAGCGTCGGGGGTTTGCGAGGGGGGACGTTGGGGACGGAAGCTATCAATACTGAGGCGAGAATGGAGGAGTTGGTCTGAAAAAGATATACGAGATGCTCTATGCTTCGGTTTCTGGAAGAAATAGAGCTAGGGGGGGGGATGGCGGGGAACAAGGCGGAGCAGCCAGAGGCGTAGGAGGGGAATTGAGGGAGAGGGTTGGGTAAGGAGAGGGATTTGGGAAAGGGATTGTTCAACAGGCCAGCCGCCAGCGAAATGCTAGTTTGCGAAGTCTGGGGACATTTGTCACATTGCAGGTTCTGACGGGGTACAGTTCCCTAGCCTACATGATGCTCAACTGTAGTTCTGTATACAGAACTTGTCTGATTAATCCTGGGCGCTGATTTGCCGCAGGACTTTCGCCAAAGGTCTGCCACTTCACCGGATTGGGAGACTGCCATGTCATTTCATTTCTGCCCAGCTTTGTCGTCTTCTCAGGGCATTTTTTGGGGAGAACATCATATTAAGGCCGAATGGTGCCAGAAGAGTGATCGAAGTAGGGCCAGAAAATCTCGACCGTAGGATTTCAACCTGGAGCTGACCAAACGAATCGGCGAACAAGCCGAACCATGAGTCCCAGAAAACTGCTAAAACAAACCAAGTTTTGTGAACGTATTCTTAATTGAGGATTTTGACCGCCGTCTACTACAGCGCGCGCGTCGCCTTGTTCTGGAATTGAATTCGGCATGTCAAATCGTGAGTACGTAACAACATAATATATTCTGGGTGATACATATCACCTACCCGATAAGAAACCACAAGAAAAAATATATTACCCATTCGGAAACGGATGCGACTCGGGAGATATCAACCCTAAATACCAAGAAGGTCTCCTTTTTGGGGTTGATCCATCCCGAAATTGCATCCAGGTTCTCAATTAGCTTTAGTTTTTTTTGCTGCCCTAGAGCTCCCGGTAGAGTCGGCTCGCTAAACGACACGCGAGCGAAAATGCGAGCCGGTACATGCCTTTAGTAACAGAATTACGTGCGATAAATGAAAACCCTCTGTTAATCCCTCCTCGCGAAGCGGTTTGGTAATTTCCGGGCCTATCGGTCCCTTTTAGATCACCCTTCTAGAACTGCTCGGCCCTGTATGATCTTCTCCCCATTTTGTCGGGGGGTTCCAGCTTAGCAGGGAGAGGTACCCTGGACCCATCCGCTTTGTTGGTGCTAAAGTCTGGAGGAATCTCGGACCAACTGTTCCGAATCTGCTCAACACTGGGCACAATTGACATGACAGCTTATCCTCCACGATTCGATCGTGTGACAGCCACGCCACCGCCACCGACCACGGCACGGCTGCATGTGTGTGGTGTTGTCGTGCCGGACACATTCTGTCCAGCTTGGCAGTCCGAGAATTTCAAGCCACCGCCATGTTCTCCGACGAGTGGATGCTTCGGCCACAACTGCTGAAGCTGTGCTACCTGGACCGCAGTCAAATGAGGGCGGGTCTTTGTAGAGAAGGGTTCTGTCTGATGCGTAGTGATCGAAAGCGGTAGAGAAGAAAAACTCTCTAGTACCGTTGTGCTATCCCACCATGAAAATGATTGACCCGCGGTGGGTGAATTAACTCCATCCTCGATTGTAGAGTCTTCGAGTGGGACGGCTATGACAGCCGATGTCTGTTCCGTATACGGTACGTTTTCATTATGAAACTTCATAATAAGGTAGTGGTATTGTCTAATTCATTTCGTCTCGATCTAAGTCAATACGTTCCTTGTGTGTTTTCTACGGTCCAATTCATTACATCGCAGTATAGAACGGTATGCCTCAAGGAAATCATTTTCCTTAGTGTTAGACCGTCTAGGGTTTTTGAAGCCACGAAGACGGTCTTGTTACACGACAGAAGGGAGGGGTGGAGCCTCAAAGCATGAACTGTAAATGTACAACACCAACACACCCTAAACATGATGGTCCGTGTCCGGAAAGGGCTCCTTATGTTCTGGCATGTAGTGCACAGCACACATTGATACCTATCTATGGAACACCACATTCCCCATGGAACGTCAAATCAATTTCACATAATCGCGTACAGAGCCCACATATCAACTCCACATCCTCCAACACCTCTCACCATTTCTTGCCAAACCCTAACCATCCACCCCTCCCTTCCTGCACATACCGTTCATACCCCTCCTCGCCCTCCTCGTCCTCTCCATCTGCATGTGGTGCTAATAGCTGCACTTCCAGGCTGGCAAGCAGAATAAGAATTGCGCCCGCGGCAGTCGACGTGCTAAGTGTTTCTCCTAACAAAAAGAAGGCCAGGAGGCTGCCCCAGAGGGGGCTCATGGTGAGAATGAGCGTGGCTGTGGATGCTCGCACGAAGCGCAACGCTTCCATCTCCAGCCACTCGCACATGCCTGCAGTTGGTGGCAGAGGTGGGTCGGACAGGGACGAGGAACAGGAGAAATGAAGCCAGGGAAAGAGAAGGGCAGGGGAGGGTTGGGGGTGTAGAGTGGGGAGAAAGGGCATGGAGAATGACACATGGTGCTCCTGGAGAGGGGCCCGATGGTATATGCATGGGATGGGATGCACGCACACACGGCCAATGAGCTCAACATGCCTCACATTCCCGAAATTCATCCCAGTATTACACACAGGCACCAACCCGCCAGCTGCACCCATCCCCCCCCTTACCTGTTCCGAACGGCCCAGCCAGCAGTGCCATGCCGATAGGAGCAGCAGCAGCCACGGCCAGCAGCTGGTTCCACGCCACTGCTGCCCCGCTGCCGTCGATCCCCGCCACTGCACCCCCCCCTGCTGTGAGCGCGATGCCTGCCAGCGAGAGCAGCACCCACACTACGCCGATAGCTGCTGTGGTGCCCAGCTGCAGGATTACAAGGACGAGCGGGTCGTAGCGTGCACATAGGACCTCGGAGCGCACCTGCAGTGGAGGGGGAAGCGGGGAAAAGAAGGGCGAGAAGGAGAATAGCGAATAAAGGATGGCACATTAGTACAGGATGACCAACACGAACGGGTTGTAGGATGCTCATAGGACCTCGGGTAGCTTCTGGTGGGAAGGAAAGGGGAGCGAAGGAAGTGTAGGAGAATGTGTGTAGATAGAATGTATGTCCGCTTGAGGATGTCAAGGATGGCACACTCATGACATGAATGCAACACTCACCAAGTGAATGGCACACTCACCAAGTGAATGGCACACTCACCACATGAATGGCACACTCACCACATGAATGGCACACTCACCACATGAATGGCACACTCACCACGTGCATGGCACACTCACCACGTGGATGGCACACTCACCACGTGCATGGCACACTCACCACGTGCATGGCACACTCACCACGTGCATGGCACACTCACCACGTGGATGGCAGAGCCCACAGCGCCAATGAGGCACCACACGTGGCCCACAGGTAGGCTCCATTGCACAGGCACCGACGCCAGCGCTGCTGCTGCCGTGTCAGCGATGGCATTGGAGGAAGCTGATGCTGAGCTGGCGATGATGTCAGCCGGTGTGGCTGCTACTGCGACAGCAGTGATGGTCTCCCCGCCTTCCAGCATCACCATGCCTGTTCGTGTGGTCGAGGGGGTAAGTAAGGGAATAGGCATACGTGAGGGAACAGGTGTGGGTGAGGGAGTGGGCGTAGCTGCTACTGCAGCAGCAGTGACGGTCTCCCCGCCTTCCAGCATCACCATGCCTGTGAGTACGGATGTGGGAGCGAGTGAGGGTGTGGCCATGGGCGTGGTCGAGGGTGTGGTGCTGAGAGGGCGTGGGCGTGAGTGGGGGCGTGGGCGTGGGTGTGGGCGTGGGAGTGGGCATGAGAGGGGGCGTGGGCGTGGGTGCATGCAGGCGGTCATTGGGAGGAAAGGTGCGGGTGTGCAATGGGATAAGGGGGCGGGGGGGTTAAGGATAAGGAACAGAGCACACACCCCAGCAGCACAAAACAGGTGTGAGTGAGTGAGAAGACACAGGAAAGGCGCTGGAGGCATGAAACGAGGAGAAGGCGGAAGCCTCACAAGAGTGGAGAGAGTGGAGAGCGTACCGGTGCAAGCGAGAAGTGTGGCGATCCACACGCTGCGGTTGATGGGCGTGCCTGAGAGGGCCTCCAGGAATGGAACCAGCACCACCTGCAGTGGATTGCAGCAGTGAATGCCAAACACAGGACGCCACTGGTTATGCACGGGTTCTTACAGATCCATGCTGCAGACTGTGCTACGAGCGAACGTGGGATGTGGCAGGGCTGGAACAATGGGGCGGAATCTGGAGGAGCTGAAGCATGCTGGGTCACATTGGTGAGAATTCAAACAAAGGGTTCATTGGGAAAAAGGAAGAAGTGTGAGTGTGAGTGTGTGTGTGTGTGTATATATGTGTGTGTGTGGGGGGGGGGGGGGGGGGGAGGGTTGGAGGGGGGGGGGGGTGTGAGGCCATCCGGAAAGGGAGGCGAGGTGGGCGGCATAGAAAAGGGGGGCAATTGGGGAACATCGAAGGACGACTGGGAGGAAAATCCACCGTTCTTGCTGGGGAGGGACGTGTGGGCATGGGATTCTCATACCGAGACGGTGAGGATGAGAGCAGCGTCGTCGGCGGAGGTGGTTTCGAGCCCGATGGCCTGCCCCGCATACGTCACGAACATCCACACGCCCAGCTCCACGCCCCCCACCACCATCGCCGCCCGCTCCCGCCGCTCCTTCTTGCTCCCCCCCACCATCGACTCCCACACCCCCACTACTAGCCCCTCCTTGCCTCCGTCCTTCTTCCCGTTCTTCTTCCCCTTCTTCTTCCCTTTCTCTTCCTCCGCCTCTGTTTTACCCCGGCCGTTGCTGCCCCTGCTGTCGGTCTCCCCGCCGTCAGATGCGCCCTCCCCCAGTAAAGACGTCATGGGGTTGCTCAATCCGGTGTTACCCCACATGTCCCACGCCGCATCCCACGAGTTTCGAAAGTTTCCGAGCACCTTCTCGCCCCAGGTTGCCTCCTTTTGGTGTGTCCTCTCGTGGTGCATCCTTGCCACGTGTCTCGCCAGCGCAAACCCTCCCAGCCCGATCGTCGCGAACAGAAACCGAATCGCAAACTCTACACTTGTATCGAGACTCCCAAAAAGAGGATAACCAGCGGTACCCGAACCAAACATACCCTCGAACATACCCTCCCCCAGGAATCCGCTGAAAAACCCTCCCCCAATCACATCACTCACTACCTCCCCCACAGGCGTCGAAATCGCCTCCCCCACCGCCACCCCCGCCGCAGTCACCGCCGCCGCGCCAGCTACCGCTCCCCCGACCTCTCCCCCCGCGCCGCCCCCCCCGTGGAGCTCCTGCATGAGCTTAACGGTCACCGCGGTCGCGGCGTAACCGAACGCGAGGACATTAAGGAGCAGCACGGCTTGATCCTTGGAAAGATTAATGCTGTACGGCGGCGGCTGCGGCGGCTCGAACGCGTCCTTCGACAGGAAGGTTCGGCGAACCCAGAAGGCGAAGTCTGTGAGCGGTCCGGGAGGGAGTCCGGCAATGGTTTGCGGGAGTTTGGCGTCTGTTTTTCGCCGGTGGTCTTTGTGTCCCTTGTGGTGGTGTCCGTGGGGGTGATGGTGGTGGCGCACGTGATGATGATGCGAGTGATGGTGGTCCGGGCTGTCTGCCTCGTGCTGATGCCGTTTATGATGCTTGTGCTCATGGTGATGCTCGTGATAATGATCCTTGTGATGGTCTTGGTGTTGATGATGATGTTTTTGGGGTTTATGATGATCCGGATGGGACGCGTCGTGGCTGTGATGGCTGCTGTGCTTATGATGATGGTGGTGCTGATGGTGAATTGCGGATTTCTCCTCCTCATTGTGCCGATGGTGCTTCCTGTGGTGATGCTCCTCACCCTCATGGCTACGGTGGCCATGGCTGTGGCTGCGGTCATGGCGGTGCGAGTGATCTTCAGAATGCCCGTGTCGGTTCCTGTGATGCGAATGCCAGGACGAATGCTCGCCGTCCGATTCTTCATCGCTCGAGGATCTGTGGTGGAGATGATGGGAATGATTGGCGTGCTGAGAGTGGTGACCCTGGTACCCGTGTTTGCTATCTGCGTGCTCCTTGTGCTGCTTCTTCCGTTTCTCCCACCATTTATCCGCGCTGCTTAACACGCGAGACACGCCGCTAGACCAGCCCTTTCCGCCTGACTCGTTATTGGAAGCCCTCACGCCAATCCGACGCAAACCTGTAGCGTTTCGACGTTGGGATTCGCGAATTTTGGAGAATCGGCAAGTCCGTTCTTGTAAGAGCAAGCCGCAAGCGTCCTTCTTGCTGATGATTGTTGAATTGGGAATGTGCATGACCATAGCGGAATTCGAGTGAACTGCCACTCCCAATCCCTTGGTGTAATCGGTAAGCGGTGCGATGGACCCACATTCTACGACACGGAGGGCCATGGAAAACCCGTGCCCGAAAAATAGAACGTGAGCAGCAGGTTAGGAACCCACCCGACCTCCTTCTCAAGTGAGAGAAGGGACTTGCAGTGGACTCTAACCCTTAACCTAACCTGGAGCTTGCACAGCAGATTGGGAGGTAAGACACTCAGAATAAAGATGAAATGAATTTGAAACTGGAGCTCAGTTCACAGGCTATCCATACATGGGAGACCTGCTTACAAGAAACAAGTGAAGCTGCATCAGTCAAGAGGAGAAGCTGGAGAAGAGACAGGAAGGAAGACACAAGCATAGGACACTGTTGCAGAGCGGAAAAAGGGCAAATTCTGTTCGGTGAGCGCTGACACATGAAACCGAAACAAAGTTCGGGATATTCTCGCGCCAAGAAGCAGACCAACCAAAGATCAGAGAATATCGAGGTTGTTGATCAGGAGGGGCTAGTGATTGGACAAAGAGGTGCTAGCAACGGCTTGCGCGGTGTTTTCTGAGAAGTGATTGGGCACGCGTAGCTGGAATCTCGGAGCCTTGACACGACCATATCGAGGCTGGTTGGTGAAAGTGAACACTCCAACCCGGCGAGTTGGACGAACGGCCAATAAACGATCTCGATGCTGCGTTGGCGAATTGTCAGCACCGTCAAGAGGTTTTAGGGCCAAGAAAAAGGTTCTGACAGGCAAGCTCTGCTGGTGGATGACTCAGTCCCACATCAGCTAACTTGGGAACTTGGGACAGGACAGCCCCCAAAAGTACAACTATCTGGGTCCAGCGTGGCAGATTTTCTCGTTGCTTCCACGCTGCTTTCACGTTCTCACCTACTCTCCAGTGTGCGATCAAAATTTCCTGCACGACTCCATCTACGATCTGTGATCGCATCTCAAATCTAGTTGGTCAGGCCCAACCGTCCGATCATGAGGGGTGTTCGCACGTTGGGGACCTCTGAACAATTGCGACGTCCAGATTCGCTCCCCCTCCACCTCATCATCCTACCCAATCTCTTGCACGCGCGGAATGCACTTTTCGCTGTCCCCACTTCATGTCCGGACACCCCAGGAAGGCGATCTAAAGGACACTTCTGGCGCTTCAGTGAACACGTGCTTAGACGCATTCTCGCGATTTTCAACGAGCTTTTTAGTGAGGATTGATAAGCCTAAATTTGTCATATTAAAATCCGCATACTGGTAAATGTTGGGAATCACAAGATGATTCACAGCCCATTCTTTCATAAAATTTAACTCCCAAACTATGCCATCATACTAGTAATTTCACGGACTGAGAGAAGGTGCACGCCGCCCCCTCCCTTCCCCCTCAATCTCCCTCTCCATCGACCGATCCCTCCAGCTCCTCTTGCCCTCCCGCCTTCTCCCATCTCTCCTCTCCCCTCCATACGCACCACTCTCCCCTCCACCCCCAATCGACCCCTCCCTCTGTCTCTCCCTCCCCCCAAAATGGTGATGCATCCTCCTATGATGCTCCTCACCATACGAGCCCCTTTCCTCATCCTCCTCCTCATGCCCCCGGTGCTGCCTCCCCGAAAGCTGCCGACTAAACTCCCGCCTAAACCCATGCCGCTCCCGACCCTCCCGCACAAACCCCTGCCCGTCCCGATCCTCAGCCTCGGACCCTTCCTGCGACCCCTGCATACCCTGCCCCTGCGGCTGCCCCTGCCGCCTGTCCCGCTCCCGCTCACGCTCCCTCTCTCGCTTCAACGACCCCCCCCTCTGCATGCCCTGTCCCGGCTGCTGCTGCTGCTGCTGCTGCTGGGAGTGCGGAGGGGGGAAGTGCTGCTGGGATCTCTCAGCCTCCAACACGCCTGCCTTGAAACGTGAGAGCTCTTGGACCTCGGCGTCTCTCAGCTGCAGCTGCCTCTGCAGCTTGTACACCGTCTCCTCGAGCTTCTCCGCCTCCTCGTTGATCTCATCCACATACTCCTGTAGCTCTGCCAGGGCGCGAGTGGGAGAGAAAACGGAGTGGGACAGTCGGGGGACAAAATGGCATGTCAAAGTGCATATTTGGGGCCTCAGAAAGGGGCTTCTCCACCTCCTCGTTGGTCTCATCCACATACTCCTGTAGCTCTGCCAGGGCGCGAGGGCGGCAGTGGGGCAGTGGGACAGTGGCGGGACAGAGGGCAGAGGGCAGGTCAAAGTGTGGCTTTGAGACACTCAGAAACAGAATTCTCCGCCTCCTCGTTGATCTCATCCACATACTCCTGTAGCTCTGCTCACAGCGACAAGCATTACGAGAGAAAAGCAGAGGGGCAGGTCATAAGGCGCCTCAGACACTGGCTTCTCCGCCTCCTCGTTGATCTCATCCACATACTCCTGTAGCTCTGCCAGGGAGCGGAGCAGTAGGAGGGGAAAAGGAGTGCGCCAGTCGGGGGAAAAAACACCAAGTCATAGTGCATCTTTGGGGCCTCGGAAAGAGGGTTCTCTGCCTCCTTATTGATACTCCTGTAGCTCTGCCCAAAACACATGGGACACACGGCAATGAGGGGAAAAGAGCGCAAGGAAAAAACATCGAGGTTCATGCCGCCCTCATACGACAGGATCATGCAGGATGCAAGGAGAGAAGAAGTAAGAACACAACACTTATGTTTAGACTAATTAAATGACACTAATTACACTGCTGCAGGGTTAATGTGCCTCAGTGCGCTACCTTGGTAACTGCGCTTGAGCTCCGAGTTGAGCTGCTTCTGCAGAGCCAGATTGCTAAGGGATTGATGGATTCTAACCGCAGCAAGCTTGTAGAGTGGGAAACGGGTAGAAAGAGGGTGAAGGCAGTACCTTGGTAGCCGCGCTTGAGCTCCGAGTTGAGCTGCTTCTGCAGGGCGAGCTTGTTCTCCAGCTCGTGCACCTGACAGACGTGACAGGCAGGATGGATCAAAGCACGAGTGGGAAGGCAAACGAGAAGATAAAAAGAAAGTGACTCATCAAGAGGAAAACGGCGTGTTGTAAAGCAGCAGCTTATGCAGGCCGAGCTTGCATTCCAGCTTGTGCAGGAGGCAGGTAGACAAGCGCAATGGAGGGGGCACGTGATGTGACTGTCAGATAACATGTGACCTGCCCTCAGCATCACCTGCCCTAGGTCCAACCTTACCTTGCCTACAGCACCCCAGGTGCCACCTCCCCCAGTCGCACTTTCCCCTCAGCGGCCTCCCTGCCAATGTCCTCATTCTCCTCCTGCAGAGTGCGGCACTTGGCCATCAGCATCTTGCCGTTCTTGCTATCGGCGTGAACTGCACCGCTCCTACCAGGTGGTCCTGCCCTAGGCCTCACGCTCCCTACGCCCCACCTGCCCCAAACCCTCACCTGCCTCAAACCCCACCTGTCCCAGGCCTCACCTCACCTATAGCCTACACCACCCCAGGTGACACCTGCCCTAGGCGCACCTTCCCCTCAGCAGCCTCCCTGCCAATGTCCTCGTTCTCCTCCTGCAGAGTGCGGCACTTGGCCATGAGCATCTTGCCGTTCTTGCTGTGCGGCGTGAACTGCACCGCCGCTAGGTCGTCCTGTAGCTCTCTCACCCGCCTCTCCAGGGCCTCGCTCTCTGTCTGAAGGGGTTAGAATGGGTGCAAAGGGGCACTTGGCCATGAGCATCTTGCCGTTCTTGCTGTGCGGCGTGAACTGCACCACTGCAGATCGTCTTGTAGCTCTCTCACCCGCCGTTCTAGAGCCACGCTCTCCGTCTGAAAGGGTGCATGTAGGTGTGGTTCGGTGAAATTAAGTATACGTGGGGGTAGGGGGAGGGGGGCAGGGAGAGACGTAGAAGGTGAGTAAATCACTGGTGAACTGCGCCGCTGCTAGGTCGTCCTGCAGTTCCCTCACTTGCTGCTCTAGCGCCTCCCTCTCGGTCTGAATGGGTCTGAATAGGTTCACATGGGCGAATGTAGATGAGTATGGGTGGGCAACGGCAGAGGGCAAGGCGGGGAGGTGAGCTGCATTTCTGCTAGGTCGTCCTGCATTTCTGCATTTCTGCATTTCTGCATTTCTGCGTTTCTGAATTTCTGCATTTCTGCAGCGAATCCAGCTCAAACATAAGTGTGTCTCACCTTCTGTGCGCCTCGCCTTTCGTGCGTCTTGCCTTGACTGCATGCCTCACCTTGAGTCGTTTGAACTCGGCGTGAATGGCCGCGTCCAGCAGCAGTGAGCGAGTCTGGCGCACAACAGGCAATCAAGGGGGAGAAATGAGGGAGAGACACGGGCAGGGGCGCGAGGGAAGCATAACACAGCAAAGCATGAGTAGACTAGTTTTGAGGCGCCTCAAAACTGGACAGGGGCGCGAGGGAAGCATGACATAGCAAAGCATGAGTAGAAGGACAAGAGGCGGTGCAGAAAGCACAAGTTAACGTGGAGAGCGGTTGGAAAAGCTGGCACGAGGATCGAAAGAGAAAAAGCTGGCAAGTCACGACTGAGCCTGCGTTTTCACCCTCCTCATACTGCCACGGCTGTTTCCCACCCACCCTTCAAGATGGGCAGTCATTCTGACCCACCTGCGTGCTGGCGGGCTGCATGCTCTCCAACACCTGCTGCACCTGCTTGCTATCCCCCACCTACTTTCCCAATCTAGCAGCCGCCTCCCTCCCACCTATTCCTCCAAGAAAGCAATTGTTTTAAACCACCCACCTGCGTGCTGGCGGGCTGCATGTTCTCCAACACCTGCTGCAGCTGCTCCTGCAATGCACACATGGGGAGGGAGTGCAGGGGATCGGGGGAAAGACATTCGAGAATTCTCAGAAGTGACTCCTGCAGTGCACAAGTGCAGGAGGGAGTGCAGGGGATTGGATTGCATTGAGCGAGCGCAGGAGACTTTGGGAGCCCATCAGCGCGTGTCTATTCTTTAGATTTAAATGCTGTAGGGAGGGAGTATGGTATCGGCTTGAAGAAAGCCTTTCATGCCAGCCACCTGCAGCACGTTCTGTCATATAAAAACACACACTCCCATCCTATGTCTAGATCCTCCTCTGACATGCACACTATATTTGAGACGTCTAAAAATGCACAGCCACCCTCCTTGACAGCAACCACCTCCTGCTCCCTGCCTGCCAGGCGTATCAGCATGGCGGCCTCCTCTTCCACGCTGCCTGCAGCTTCTCCTGCGCCTGCGCCAGCAGGCAGGCACGCACATGCACACATATACACGCATGCACACATGCACACATGCACACATGCACACATGAACCCACCCACCCACCTTGACAGCAACCACCTCCTGCTCCCTGCCGGCCAGGCGTATCAGCATACACACACACCCACACCAGCAGACATGCATGCATGTACACATGCACACACCCGCTCTCACACCCACCCACCCACCCACCTTGACAGCAACCACCTCCTGCTCCCTGCCGGCCAGGCGAATCAACATAGCTGCCTCTCTTCTCCGGGCAGCCAGAAGCTTCTCCTGCAGTTGCGCCTCTGCCTCCCGCACTGCCTCAAACGCCGCCACCACCGCTGCTGGCTCTGTTGGGGAAGGGGGAAGGGGGCAAGAGACAATACGACAGATATGAAGGACAGGAAATGACAAAAGGTGGGTGGAGGCTGGGGCAGGTGGGCGGAGGCTAGGGCAGGTGGCCTCTCTCCTCCGCGCTGCCAGCAGCTTCTCCTGCGCCTGCGCCTCTGCCTCCGGCACTGCCTCAAACGCTGCCACCACCGCTGCTGGCTCTGTTGGGGGATGAGCAGGAGAAAGACGAGGGGAGGAGGAAGGAGGCAAGTGCAATGAATGTTGATAAGATGGAAGGCAGTGCCTGTGCGCCACTTATGCACGCCCGCAGGGGAGCAGGAATGGCAGCGGAACTGGCAGAACGTGAGAAGACAGGGCAGCTCACCAGCAGAAGTCTGAGGCGCAATGTAAGGCCGTGTATGTTTTTTGAGAATTCTAAAAAAACATACGCTGTCTCAGGCGCTGAAAGGCCGTGCGTGCGTGGCACTTATTCCGGACCCCAGGGGGAGCAAGGAAGGCATGGCAGAGAAGGCAGCTCAGCTCACCAGATGGGTTTAGGGTTCAAGGCATGGCGGTGCCGTGGCCTGTGGGCCACTGAAATCCGGAACTCAGGGGAGCGGGAAAGACAGGGCAGCTCACCAGCGGTGGTCTCAGGCGCAAGGACGGTGGCAGGGTGGAAGGCCAAGCGCCACTTGTGCAGATCCGCAAAAGAGCAGGACAGCAGGGGAACAGGCAGCACGTGAGAAGGCAAGGCAGGGCTGGGCAGAGAAACTCAACAGCGGTGACCTCAGGCGCAAGAATATTGGCAGGATGGAGGGCTGTGCCGGTGTGCCACTTATCCTGGACCACAGGGTAACCAAGAAAGGGCAGGGCAGCTCACCAGCGGTAGCCTCAGGCGCAAGAATGTTGGCAGGATGGAAGGCCGTGCGCCACTTGTGCAGATCCGCATGTGCCTCATCCAGTTGTGACTGTAACGGATGGGAACAGGTGGAGAGTCGTCAGCACGAGCAATTATTGTTGGAGAGTGCTGAAGAATTCAGATCAGGATAACAGTTGGTTGTTGGGAGAATTGAGGTCAGGAAAGCAAAGAATTGCATTGAAGATATTTTTTGCAGTGCGTGTAAAACGCACCTGCAGCTTCTTGATGGTGGCATCCTTCTCCTCCACGCTGCCACGTGGCAGAGAGACAGGCAGAGAGGGTGGCACGTGGCAGAGGAACAGTGAGAGAGGGTAGGTCAGATTCTATGCAGCACGGACGATGTGGAAGAAGAGAAAGAAGAGCAAAGGTCGGACACTAGCTGAGAGTAGACGTGAAACCCTAAACTGTACAGGAAGGAAAAAACTCAACGCACCAGGCACGAAGAGTGAGTATGGTGGTGGTGGCATGGTCGTGTGCTGCAGCCACGGCAGCCGGGACTGATGCCTGAGAGGTGCGTGGGATGAAGCATGCAGCATACGGTATGTAGCATACATCATTCAGCACGCATCATGCACCATGCACCATAGATCATGCACCATAGACCACGCACCATTGCACCATCCATCATGCACCATGCGCCATCCACAATGCACCAAACACCATGCACCATGCACAAATCACCGTGTACCATGAACCATGCACGAGGCATCAGGTTTCATAAATACCCAGCAGGTAGGGAGCAGCACAAAACAGACGCCATACATGCACCATAAAAAAATCCGTGCAGTGAAACCCTAGACACCCACAATCCCGCCACCAGCCCCCCCACGCACACAACCACCCAGACCCACCTGCTCATCCTCCATCGGATATATATCCACCTCTTCTTCCTCCCCCACCTCCTCCACCTCCTCCTCCTCCTCCTCCTCCTCCTCCCCGTCAACTTCCTCCAAATCCCCTCCCCCGCCTCCCCCATCGGAACCCGACGAAACCGCACCACCAGCCTTCAAGCGGCCAATCGAGCTCTTCGTGCGGCCGGCGCCAGCAGCTTCTTGACCGTTGCTGGGCGCGACTCGCGAAGCAACTGGTCCTTCGAACTCAAAGTCATCCTAAAATCAGAAGCAGCAGATAAAAACCGTACAGTGACTTAGCTACGGACTGTTCGGACCGAAATTGATGGTGGTTTCCGATGCTATTGATCCAGATAAAGTAAGATACAGAAGCGCAGCTCTCACGACGTGGCCTGCTGAATGAGAACAACAAGACAAAGAACCGAGACCGCTCCATCCCTCCCGAACAATGCGTTCCGTTCTAATGACGATAAATCTAGGCCGCGAATCAGGACTAGATGTAAACACATATTATGAACCAGGTGAATTTTACGACTTGGATGGACGATAAGAATGTAGTGACGAGCTGGATAGGCTTTGGCTTGCGCATCACGCAGCGAATCACAAAATAATGACGCTTCCCGTTGTTTCTTATCCTCGCAGGACCTACCTCTTCCATCGAATCGGCTGCTCAGCGCAATCAGGCCACGCGTGTGGGCTGCACGTGTCGACCACACGGTTATTGTTGATTCGTCGCAAGACAGACCGAGCAGCAGAGTTGCTCTGGGTCAGTACCGGGTCAGCGTGTGTGTGAAGGAATGACCATGTGACTGTGTGACCGTGTGCCTACTCACGAATGGATGCGCCTTCAGAAAATCGAGAGTGGAAGTAACAGCAGTTGGTGCGTGTTTATTTACAACAAATTTCAGCGCAGCCCTAGAATGGTCCACTTTTTGACCCGTAAACTGTACTGCCATGCAGCAAGCTCCAATGTTTGTTACGAGCATATCCGCATCGTTTTGTGCTTCCAGAGGTTACCGAGATCACTGTTTGTCCTTCTAGACAGCCTTGAAAAAAAAGTTCGCTGCAGGCGTTGTTGCCTTGCGAATTATGAATCGTCTTCGTGAGGTTCCTGCGATGCCTTCGCACTGACAGGGTGGCTGTTCAGCCCTTCCCAAGGTCCATTTTTTACCTAGCGCGCCCTTACGACGATCACTGAAGCAATCACATCACTGCAATTAGGTGGTGTTATGCATCTTCGTCATTCTTGCTGAATGGTTGGTAATGGATAGGTGAACTGAATGGTGTTGACGACGCGAATGCTCGACGATATTTTATGGCTGTCGTTTCGGCGCGATAAAAAACTAGTCTTCGATACGCCATCTAATTAGTCGTATCGAGGCCCGTCTTATCGGAGTGTCTTGATGCGAGGACCAACGGCCTCGTTCCTATGGACACACAAGCTCCGCCAATGCGTGCCGCTGACGTTAGCTGCAGTCATCATTGCGCTGCAATTGGGCTTGCTTGTCGTTTTCCTCCGCCTCCTCCACTCCTCCTCTCCATCCGTCCTCCCGGCCTCTCCTCTCTTTCATTCCCTTACCCTCTCCGCGTCCATCGGCGACGCTACCAATTCGGCGTCCCCGCATCAGCATATCTCCGCTGATTGCTGTACTAAGAACAGCAGCAGCTGCAGCAGCAGCAGCAATGGCACGAGTAGCTCTTACGACGGCATTGGAAACGCTTCCAACGAGGACAATCCTCCGCCCTTCCCTCCACCGGAGCGCGCCATCGTGGCGTGGTTCGCGCGCCGCTATTGGTCCGCCATGAACGCAGCCGCGGCGCGCTGCGGATTGAAGCGCAGCCGCCAGGTGGCGTGGCATGATTTGCTCGCGGGAGTGAGCAATCAGGATAGGGTTACCCGCGCAGACAACCCAGGAATTGCAGGGGCGTTTTTCGACACGGCGTTTGACTTCAGATTCGTTCGGAACATGTGAGGGTGGTTGGACTCTGCATCCCCCCGCCCTCCCCCTATCCCCCTCCCCTCCTCCTTCCTTCCCACCCCCTTTCTTCCGCACTCCATACTCGCACCCTTTCTTTTCTCAAACTCCAAAATCCCTCACATCCTTCCCCATCCCAATCTCCCATTTCCAATTTCGCTTCCCTTTCTCTCCCTCCACCCACCCCCTTGCTCCTTCCCCCTCCCCCACCCCCCCCCCCCCCCTTCCCCCGCATCTTCTCCCTCTTCCCCCTCTTCCCCCCGCCTCCCCCCTCTAGCCCAGAGCGCGCCCGCCCTTCTCTAAGAACCCTGTGTGCCGGCACCTGCGGCGGGGATGTGCCTTCTCCCTGCTGCGCCAGCTGCCACTCGTGCACCGGCCGCCCAAAGAGCTAGAGCTGCCGCCCGAAGGTCTGCAGCTGCCGCCCAAAGAGCTACAGCTGCCACCTGAAGAATCGGAGAGGGGAACGGGCGGCAGCGATGTGGGCGTGAGAGGAGTGGCGGTGGATCCGGATTTGAAGCTCATTGCGATTGTCTTTCCACAGGTGATGTTTGGTTTGGTGAGGTGATGTGCGGTAGGATGAACGGGCGGTACAATAGGGTGATGAGTGGTGCCGTTGGGTGGGCATTTTTCCTCTGGTTGATTGAGTTACCATGCTCCAAGGGGTTCAAAGCACGGGTGCAGAGCCAGGTCACGTCACCAACTTTCCTCCTCTGCCCATTCCCTTCCATTCGTTTTCCTCCACTTCTCCCCCATTCCCTTCCATTCGTTTCCCTCCACTTCTCCCCCATTCCCTTCCATTCGTTTCCCTCCACTTCTCCCCCATTCCCTTCCATTCGTTTCCCTCCACTTCTCCCCCATTCCCTTCCATTCGTTTCCCTCCACTTCTCCCCCATTCCCTTCCATCCGTTTCCCTCCACTTCTCCATCCTCCCCTGTTTCCTTCCAGTTCCATGCATGCAGGGAGAACGATCAGTTCTGGGGAGTCAATTTCTCCGAGTGGGACAACGTCAAGCGATCCTTTTTCCACCCCACCACCTTCCGCCCTGTCGCCCACCCCATCGGCCCCGCAACTCCTCCCGAACCTCCCCATACCGCTCTACACTCCATCTCTACCCCCATTCTGAACGCACTTCCAATCTCCCACCCCCTCTCGCCCCTCTCTGGTGGGTATTATAACTTCCTTTCTCGCTCCCACCGCCGCCGAACCTCAGCTCTGGCCCGAGCCTACGGGTTCCATGGCCTGTGCTACCACCACTACTGGTTCGGCTGCCGCCGAACCACGCTCGCCGAGCCTCTGCTCCGGATGCTAGAGGACGGCGAGCCCAACCTCCCGTTTTGTCTTATCTGGGCAAATGAGCCGTGGACAAACCGGTGGGATGGGGCAAAAGCGGGAGGGAACGGAGTGCTGCTGGAGCAGACGTATGGGGATGAGGAATGTTGGAAGGAGCATTTTGACTGGCTGCTGAAATTTTTCAACCATCCGAACTACATCAAGGTATGCTGTGCAACCCCTTTCTGGGTGGGTAGATAGCTAGGTCTCAGCGATGCTTGTCCTGAGTGGTTTGGCTCCATTGATTGCATCTTGCTCACGGTCTTTCTAGCTAACATTTCTCCTCGCTCCTTTCCCTGTCTCCTTGCCCCTCTTCTTGCCTTCTCCGTGCATCTCTTTCCCATTTCTCTTCCGCTCTCGCTTACTTACGGTCTCATCTCCACCCCACCAGGTATCTGGCCAGCCTATGTTCGGTATCTACCAACTCGGCGATATTCCCGAACCTGAGGCTCGGGGGATGTTTGACCTCTGGCACAGCCTGGCTCGGCAGCAAGGCTTCCTGGGCCTGCATCTGTTCCAGTGCCTCACACACACCAACAGCACACCGAACCAACGCTCCCTGGTGCAAGCTGTGGCAGAATACGAACCTAACTACCGCAAGTTTCAGTTCGGCGAAACCCCATCCCCGGTTCGGCTTCATCCGAACCACTACCGAGGCTCGTACGTGGCATGGGATAATTTTCCCAGGCACTCGACGGACCTATCGTGGAGGCTCGGTGATGTGGCAGAGGACCCGATCCACTTGACAGCAAGGATGGAGGCTCGGATGAGGCTGGCTCGGCAAGACGTGGCTGAGGACCGGGCAAGGTTCGGCATCCCAGACAGCACAAAGACTCAAGAACCTAGCTTAAGTCAAGACCAGGAAGGTTCAGAGAAAAGGCAAAGAGGCTCGGATACAGGTGGAGTAAAAAAAGAGTCAGCGGAGGTGCAAGAGGGTGTTGCGAACGGGACGTATTTCTTTGTTGCAGCTTGGAACGAGTGGGGCGAAGGCAATGCTCTCGAGCCGAACCACATCTTTGGGTTCGGAAACCTCAACGCTGTCGCCCGAGCCTATGCCCGAAGCAGGCATCCAGCCACCGAGCCTCAGCTTGTGCTTCGAAAATTAGCCGAAGCTGCAGTGGCATGCGAGCTTTGTCTGGATGTGAGATACTATGTGGATATGGATGGTGAGCTGTATGAGGGGCTGGAAGGGCGTGTGAGAAGGGAGGGAGGACGCATAGTGAAGCACTTTATAGAGAAGGGGTTTCTGGGAGGGAAGCAATTCAGGCTGAGGCGGAGGCGGGAGGAAAGGGAGTGGGAAGGGCAGGGTGGAGGGCAAGGGGGAGGTCAGGGGGAAGGCCAGGAGGAAGGCCAGGGGAAGGTGAATGGAGGAGAGGGAAGAGAGGGGGATGGTGAGGAAGGAGATGGGAAGGGGGATTGGGAAAGCGAAGCGGCTCAATTGGAAGGGTACCATGAGCTCAATTGCTTCACGAGGGGTTTTAAGAACATGATGGGTGGTGGTGGTGGTGCTGCTGCTGCTACTGCCGATGCTGTTGATGCTGCTGCTGCTGATAAGGAGGGATTGAGATCGAGAGCGGGAGTCGGGTGCAAGTGGTTGAAGCTGCCTCTGGATTATGTAACACTTTCCTATCTTGTGGAGGAAAAACTTATTTAACAATTTTTTTTATTCGTTATTGCAATCGAGAGCCTCTGCGACAAGAAAGCTTACCGTACCCTGCCAACAAAACAAGTTATTCAAACAGATTGGAATCCGAAACAAACCACATTGCCAGCAAAGGAGGACGCACCTTGATGCCCTCACCGCGGCTTTATATCTCTCAACCACCATCACCGCAATTTCCCTCTACCCTATCTACGGTACTATGGGCCAAAAAGCCCTTCATGCTGCACCTCTTGAATCTGCCCCTGCTGCTGCAGCTGCTGGAACTGCTGTTGCTGCTGAAACGACTGCTGCTGCTGCAGCTGCGGCTGTCCTACACCTTGCTCGGGGCTCTTTCCTTCGCTAGTACTGCTAGGCACTCCCGAGCTTCTATGCCGAAGATCGTAAATCTCCCGCTTGTACTGTAGATACCGGGCCTCCGCCTCAGGTATGGTAGCCATGATAGCAGCCAATCGCAGACCTATATCATCGACCTTCTCCTGCAGAATATCGCTCGTAAATAACCCGTCTATAACCAGAACTAACCCGCGCCAGTTCTCGTAAACGGGCAGGAAAATAATCACCGCGGAGGCAATCACGCCCCACGTGATCGCAATCACGACCCAGAAAGTGAAATACCCGAGGGAAAATACCCCCGCGGGGAGGGCAAGGAGCGGCCAGAGGGCTAGGAGAACCACGGAGAGGCAGACCCCCCAGAGGATGATCCAGTGGCGGGCCTGCTTGAGGCGCGTCTCGTCGTGCTCCCAGGGGGGGATGTCGGAGTGCCAGTCCCGATCCACCAACGTTATGGCTCTCGTGCTGGCATAGTCGTAGTCGTCTGGATACTTGAGGCTGGATGGGAAGAGAAAAAGAGAGGGTAAGGAGAGGAGGAGAACAGGGAGTGAGAGGGAGAAAGGCAAATGGTCAGAGGGCCAGGAGAACGATGGAGAGACAGACTCCCCAGAGGATGATCCAGTGGCGAGCTTGCTTGAGTCGCGTCTCATCGTGCTCCCAGGGGGGGATGTCTGAGTGCCAGTCCCGATCCACCAGCGTTATGTCTCTCGTGCTGGCATAGTCGTAGTCGTCTGGATACTTGAGCTGGGGGGAGTAAGGATGTGCGTGGGAGAGGACAAGAGCAAGGGAGAACAGATTGAGGGGGGTATGTCGGAGTGCCAGTCTCTATCCACCAGCGTTATGGCTCTCGTGCTGGCATAGCTACACTCGTCTGGATAATTCAGGCTGGGAGGGGCATGGGGGTGGGAGGAGAATGTGAAGGTAAGCAAGAGTATCTGAGGCAGGGGACACGAGCCAGGACAAAGCAGATAAATGGTAAGAGAGGTGTAAAAGACCCACCTGAGAGCCACGTGCACGATGCCACCCACAAAGAGCGACACCAAGTTGCCGGTCAGCGTCGGTGCCTCTTCCCCCGTACTGTTGAGATCCACAGTACCGTACATGACCACTGCTACAGTAATCCACGACACTACACCCGAGATCATCCCGATAATGCACCCAGCTATCGCCCCCACTGCGTTTGCCTTTTTCCATAGGAGCAGGTTCGTTACAGGTATAACCGCGCTCCCTATAAGCACGCCCATTACAAGGTACATCCAGCCTAGGGAAACCCGCAACTCGCTAAGCCCCACCGCCAGTACACCCATAAACAGCCCGTAACTCAGCACGAAAACCCGAGAGTAAAACAAAATCTGCCGCCCAGTTGCCTTCGGGTTGATATACGTGCGATAAATATCATAAGTCATAAGCGAAGAAACCGCTAAAAGCTCCGCAGACCCAGCAGAAGTGACAGCCATGAACACCATAACGAGGATAAGCACTGCCCCTGCATCCCCCATCAAAGCCACTGCTGCAGCGGGGGGAACGAGGCCACGGGAAGCTTCCTCTAGAGTGACTGGCAATCCCAAGGCGAGGCTGGAAAGGCCGAGGGAGGTCCCGAGGGAGAACGGTACGGCGAACCAGACGAGACCTCCCAGAATGTAGCCTCTGTGCGTGGACGAGGGGCGCGATGCTATTGCACTCATCCAATAACCCTGTGCGGTGGGGGATGAGGTGAGAGTGGGAGAAGGGAGGGGAGGGAGGGAGCGGAGTGGGAAGGATGGGGGAGAAAGGGACAGCGAATCGGACGAGGCCTCCAAGGATGTAGCCTCGATGAGTAGAGGAGGGGCGCGATGCTATGGCACACATCTAATAACCCTTAGGGGTGGGGGAGGGAGAAGGAGAGAGAGGGAGGTTTGGAAGGAGAGAGAATGGATGGACAGCAACAGCATCAGCATCAGCATCAGCAACAGCATCAGCATCAGCATCAGCATCAGCATCAGCAACAGCAAGAGCATGTGCAACAGCAACAGCAACAGCAACAGCAACAGCATCAGCAACAGCAACAGCAACAGCAAGAGCAAGTGCAACAGCAACAGCAACAGCAACAGCAACAGCATCAGCAACAGCAACAGCAACAGCAACAGCATCAGCAACAGCATCAGCATCAGCAACAGCAACAGCATCAGCATCAGCATCAGCATCAGCAACAGCAAGAGCAAGAGCAAGAGCAAGAGCAAGAGCAAGAGCAAGTGCAACAGCAACAGCAACAGCATCAGCATCAGCAACAGCATCAGCAACAGCAACAGCATCAGCAACAGCAACAGCAACAGCAACAGCAAGAGCAAGAGCAAGAGCAAGAGCAAGAACAAGAGCAAGAGCAAGTGCAACAGCAACAGCAACAGCATCAGCAACAGCATCAGCAACAGCAACAGCATCAGCAACAGCAACAGCATCAGCAACAGCAACAGCAACAGCAACAGCAACAGCAAGTGCAACAGCAAGTGGAACAGCATCAGCAACAGCATCAGCAACAGCAACAGCATCAGCAACAGCAACAGCATCAGCAACAGCAACAACATCAGCAACAGCAACAGCAACAGCAACAGCAACAGCAGCAGCATCAGCAACAGCAGCAGCAACAGCAACAGCATAAGCAACAGCAACAGCATCAGCAACAGCAACAGCAACAGCAACAGCAACAGCATCAGCAGCAGCAACAGCAACAGCATCAGCACCAGCATCAGCATCAGCAACAGCAACAGCAACAGCAACAGCAACAGCAAGAGCAACAGCAAGAGCAAGTGCAACAGCAACAGCAACAGCATCAGCAACAGCATCAGCAACAGCAACAGCATCAGCAACAGCATCAGCAACAGCAACAGCAACAGCAACAGCAACAGCAAGAGCAAGAGCAAGAGCAAGAGCAAGAGCAAGTGCAACAGCAACAGCAAGAGCAAGTGCAACAGCAACAGCAACAGCATCAGCAACAGCATCAGCAACAGCAACAGCAACAGCAACAGCATCAGCAACAGCAACAGCATCAGCAACAGCAACAGCAACAGCATCAGCAACAGCAACAGCATCAGCAACAGCAACAGCAACAGCAACAGCATCAGCATCAGCAACAGCAACAGCATCAGCATCAGCAACAGCAACAGCAACAGCTCTAACTGATGGTATCAGTTGATTGAAACCACAGGTCTCACATTGTCGAGGAAGGCAGCACCAACTTTGCCCACGACAGAACAAAAAGAAACGACTGTTGCATGAGATATGCCAGAAGCACGGGTCTCACATTATCGAGGAAGACGGCACCAAAGTTGCCGACGATGTTGACAATGCCAAACATGAACCCCCCGGGCGATAGCATGGTCAGGTATGACCCTTCATAATTACCATCCACCGGCCCACACACCTGGTGACGGGTCGGGGGGGGGGAGAAGGTGGGGAGGGTAGGGAGAAAGAGCGTGTAATGAGAAACATAACCCGTCTGGGTGACAGCATGGTCAGGTACGACCCCTCATAATTGCCATCCGGCCCACACACCTGGTGATGGGTTGAGGCGTATGTGTACGAGATGGTAGGGGTAGGGAGAAAGAGCGTGCAACGAGAAACATAACCTCTCTGGGTGACAGCATGGCATTTATGACCCCTCGTAGTTTCCGTCCACTGGTCCGCACACCCAGTGACGGGCGTGCATGCGTTTGTGTGTGAGCGTGTGAGGGGGAGAGCGAGCACTTGCACTATGATGCCAAGCATGAACCCCCCTGGTGACAGAATCATCAGGTACAAGCATTACCCTCCACTCCACCACCAGCCCACACACCGGCCCAGGGTTTTGTGCGGCGGCAGTCTCTTGTGGGGCTGGCAGCAAACTCAAGAGTCAAGGTTGTTGAAACGAGCAGCAGGCGAGCCAAGGGAGGGGCTTTGACTCACCGTGCTAAACAGCATGAAACGCAGTCCCAAGGGCTTGGAGAACAGTAACAAACGGCCTCATAGCCTCACCTGTCCCGGGTTGGTGAGCCGGCAGTCTCTGGTTGGGCTGGCAGCAAACTCAAGGTTGTTGAAAACAGCAGCGAGCGAGCCGAGGTAGCCGCTGAAGCAGTAGACTAGTAGCACAAAGGTGACGAGTATGCCATGCACGATGGCGCTGTGTATGTATGATGCTAGGAAGGTGGCCTGGTGAGGGGGGGAGAAGGGGGGGAAGAGTAGGTGGGGTGGTACAGAGAGCAGCCGGAAGGTACAGAGGATGCTGTGCACAATGACGCTGTGGATGTATGACGCCAGGAAGGTGGCCTGGTGTGGGGGAAGATGAAGGTTGCGCAGATTGGGAAGGGATATGGTATGGATACGAGGGAGAGGAGAGCAGCAGGAAGGTACAGAGGATGCTGTGCATGATGGCGCTGTGGATGTATGACGCCAGGAAGGTGGCCTGGAGTGTGTGTGGGGGGGGTGGATAAAGGCGAAGAGGTTGGAAAGGGTATGATAAGCGTGCTTGCAGAACCGAACGAAGGTCACACGGATGCCATCATGCCATGCACGCTGGCGCTGTGGATGTATGACTCCAGGAAGGTGGCCTGGTGTGGGGGGGAACTGGTGGGAGTGCACGAGTGTGGAAGGTCAAGAGGACACGGTAGAGGAGCAAGGAGAGCAGCACAAAGGTCACACGGATGCCATGCACGCTGGCGCTGTGGATTTAGGACGCTAGTAAGGTGGCCTGGTGTGTGTAGGGGGGGTAGATAAGGGTGTGCAGGTTGGAAAGGGTATGATAAGCGTGCATGCAGAGCAGAACAAAGGTCACAAGGATGCCATGCACGATGACGATGTGGATGTATGACGCTAGGAAGGTGATATGGAAGGGGTGGCAGGAGGGAGGAGCAAAAGGGCACGGGCGAGAGAGACATGTGCCTGACTCACCTTGAGGCCTCCGGCAAGGGTGCAAAAGATGACTCCAATGGGTGCGAGAAACGAAGCGAGGTACACGTTGAGTCCTGTTAGGGCAGTGACCACTGCAGCGCCTCCCAGCACAAGCATGGCTGTGACAATGGTGTAGGTGAGGGTGCATGTGTGGCACTCACTCACCTCAATACCTCCTCACTCACCTTGAGACCTCCTGCGAGGGTGTAGAAGATGACTCCAATGGGTGCGAGAAACGACGCAAGATACACGTTGAGTCCTGTTAAGGCAGTGACGACTGCTGCTCCTCCCAGCACGAGCATGGCAGTGACGATGGTGTTGGTGAGGAAGCAAAAGAAGAGGAAGCAGACGTGCGCTGCTGTGCCCCACCTGGTAGACATGGAGATGCGTAGGTGGGAGTGACCAGAAATGAAGGAATTGAAAAACGAAACCATGTCCACCAGGTGGACGTGGTGATGGGTAATTGTAGTGGTAGTGGTAATGGTAATGGTAATGGTAATGGTAATGATAGTGATGATGGAAATGGTAATGGTAATGGTAGTAGTAATGGTAATGCCAATGATAGTGGTAATGATAATGGTAATGGTAATGGTAGTGGTAATGGTAATGATAGTGGTAATGGTAATAGTAATGGTAGTGATAATGGTAATGGTAATGCTAATAGTAATGGTAATGATAGTGATATTGGTAATGGTAGTGGTAATGGTAATGGTAACGGTAGTGGTAATGATAAAGATAGTAGTAATGGTAATGGTAATGGTAATGGAAATGGTAATGGTAGTCGTAATGGTAATCTTAAAGCTGCGGTCTACATACAAAATGGTATTTTCTAGGGGTATTTCGGGTGCACACCCTAAGACGCAGTCTGATTTGCTCACGAAATGATCCTTTTCCAGAAATGAGGGCGCGAAGGTTTCGAACACAACTGGCGAATCCCGCCAGTTTCGTGCAAGGCTCGGCTGGGGGGTACTTTTTTCGTGAGGTTGGGGTTGTGTTGGAGATTTCGTCACAACCTGCAACCAATCGAGGTTGGGGATGAGATGGGCGCAAAAACTGTAAGCCAATCCTAAGCAGTCCTATTTTCAGAGGGGGGGTTGGGTTGTCACAAAACAGTAACTACACCTCGCCAATCAAGGTTGGAGCGAAGCCCTGTGCTACCAGGTTTTTAAGTGATAAACCAAGTCCTCCCGCAGGAAATATGTAGGCGACAGCTTTAATGGTAGTGGTAATGGTAATGGTAGTGGTAATGGTAATGATAGTGGCAATGGTAATGGTAATGATAATGATAACGGTAGTGGTAATGGTAGTGGTAATGGTAATAATAATGGTAATGGTAATGGTAGTGATAATAGTAATGGTAATTATAAAAATCAAAACCATTTGCATGGTTAAGCTGGGAAAGGCATTGCTGGTCAACAACATGCGGGCATATAGTGGGAACCTGAGCCATCACCTGAACCATTACTTGAACATTCACCCAAACGGCTACCTGAACCTTTGCCAGAATCATCACCCACCTAGCCTCACCTGGCGCGGACGATTTCACAAACGGTGTGGGCGTTGGGGGCTTTGCGTTTGATCTCTACAGCTATGATGCCAAACAGCAGCACCTGCACCGTGGCGCCACTGGCATACCAGAACGGCCCACTCACTCCGTTCTGGTGGGGGGTTGGGTGTGAGAGCATGGGAGTGTGAGAGCATGTGCTGCTTAATCTGTTCCAGATAATATGCCAAACAGAAGCACCTGCACTGTTGCCCCACTGGCATATCAGAACGGCCCACTCACTCCGTTCTGGTGGGGGGGTTGTGTGGATGTGTGAGGGCATAAATGTGTGAAGCTATGTGATTTTATCCGGTGCAGCAATGATGCTGAACAGCAGCACCTGCACGGTCGTCCCACTGGCGTACCAGAACGGCCCACTCACTCCGTTCTGTTGGAATTTGGGAGGGGGAGGGGCACAGCCATGGATCTAGTATGGAGTGAGGCAGTTCATGGTCCAGACACAGCAAACATGGTGTCACATGACAGAGTTGATGATGCATCAGAGCAGGCAAAGCACGGTCGAGAACGGTACAGCGCGGTACCTGGAAGGCGACATTGGAGGATTGCAGGATGGTGGCAGCCCAGGTCCACTGCGATACAATCACACTCGCTATAAGCCCCGTCTTCACGTTCCTGCCCGCTGTGTTGAACCACTCGCTGCTCTGCCGCGTGCCCACATACCGCTTGTCCAGCCACACCTGGTGGTGAGTGGGGATGGAAGAGTGAGTCAGGTGACTTATGTGGATTTGCAACACACGCTGCTCTGCCACGTGCCAACGTTTCGTTTGTCCAGCCACACCTGCAGACAGAACCAGCATCGTGGGAATGAGGTGGGTTTGCATTGCACCACTCTCTGAGTGAGTGAGTGTGAAAGTGAGCAAGCGAGTGAGTGAGTGAGCAAGTGAGAGAGTGAGAGTGAGAGAGGAGGAGAGGGAGGAGTGCCGTACGAGCCAGGAGGTGAAGACGGCGAAGAACGCGCCAAAACCCAGCACCACGGCGTACCCCACCCCCACCGACAGCACGGGCTGCCCGGCAAAGAACGACGTCTGCTGCGCGCAGCTGCCCGATTTGTTGTAAAAATATTCTGCCCAGCAGGGAGGGAGAAGGCAGGGGGGACGCTGAGCGGCGTGAGGGGAGCCGAAGTGGGGAGAGCCGATGGTGGGGGAGCCGAGGGTGGGGGTGCCAAGGGTGGGGGAGCGGAGGGTGGGGGTGCCGAGGGTGGGGGAGCGGAGGTTGGGGGAGCGAAGGTGGGGGACAATGTGGGAAGAGCAGCTGGGTGAGGAGGGAAAAAGGGAGGAAGGAGGGCCAATGTGGGGAAAGCCGCTGAGGTGGGGGAGCGGAAAGAATGGATGGCGGTTCTTGGATTGGAAAGGAGAACTCGGGAAGACCGAGAATGCTGCTGAAGTAGCAGTGCTTCTAGTAGCGTCGTACGTGGAAGGCCGAAACCGTCAGGCGGACAGTTGGGCGGAAGCCCATTGCTGCTGCTCATGATGCCACGCCAACAAAACTTCCTCGGGCCGTTGCGTTTTCAGACACAGATGCGGCGTTTCAATCCTCGGTTGCGCATGTGAATAGCTCAAAGAGTCCGCCACTAATACCCTGTTCGATTATTGTAAAGGCTCCAAGCCTCTTAGCCAAGTAAGGCTTACTATTGTTCACGCCTGCGACGGTTACTAAATTATAACGGGAGAAGTTAGCACTCTGAAGGCGATAAAATGCAAGAGATTTGAAATGTCGGGTCGAACCTTACGTTGGCGGTACCACGTCCTGAGTGCGTGAGCGAAACTAGGTCACGTGCCATATGTGACACTAACGTGCTTGATAGCTACTGCGCGTGGTCCTGCGAAAGACAAGTTCTTAGGAACCCGTGTGTAGCGTGTATGCGTGGTGATATTGCCATGTGAATCCCTCTATGACCAGAGCTTCTAAGTGCATGTGGACTCTAGCTGGTGAATGCGGAGCTTTGGTGAGAATTGTCAATCCTGATGTCTGCTCCTGAAGCAACAGCAAGCAAAGAACGGTGGAGCAGAAGGAAAATGGAGTGAAGGAGCCAACCCTAGAGATTATTGAAAGGCCGCGGATGACTGGGCAAGGGTAGGTGCGAACGTGGAAGGGACCATCATAAAGCAACTCTCGATCGTACGATCAGATCGGGTGGGACCGGCTTCTCACACGGCCGTCGATGCATGAGCACGTGGAGAGATGAAGATTTGTCGGCATGGGGAAAGATTCACTAGGGCGCGTCGCAGAAGCGATATATTTTAGCTTGTTGTGCATATGGGTAACCAGACATGTTTCGAGAAATCCTTGTAAAATGGCTGATGTGTATGTGAGAGTAGAGAATGCAATGGCGGCGCAAACGAATTCTCAATAGCGTAGACGTGTTTTGTGCCTTCACGGTTCGACCGACGCATCTGGACCGTGGGAAAAATGGTCGTATCTAGCTTGGTGTTCACCCTGGGCACCCTGGGCATGTACTGTGTATGCTAGCTCTTGCACGGGTTCACCCACTGAACGATTGTTAGGGAAATATATGTTTTATTTCATAACGTTTCTCGCTGGTTATGGACACACAATTCCTCAGTGTGTGTATCAATGTTGTTTGCCAGAAAAATACCTTCACGGTCAGGTCCCCCAAAGGGTTGGGTTGATTCCTCGGAAAACATGTACAGTCAAGCACCTAGTATGTTACGTCGGACGAATCATCGTCCGTGATCACCTGGCTCGGCGCTTGATCCAATTGGCCAAGGCTGACCGCCATACTAGCAGTCGAGGTCTCGCCCACAAATTCCGCTCAACTTCCCCTTCTCGTCCACCAGTTTCCCCGCTTTGGCGGCCTGTGTGTGTCCCATCCGGTAGCTGTCCATGTCCACTCGAAACGAATCCCCGTAGTCCATACCTCTGCTGAGTTGGCCTGGTGATCAGCCCAGAGTGGTCACCTCTGGTTTGCCCATCTCGTGTGAAACTACTTTCGAAGTTGGCTCAAGCAGAAGGTTACTCTTGTTGCGAGTCCCTGGTTCCTCGTGAACAGCACTGAGGGGGGTACAACTGCAGGTCCTGTTAGGTTCCTCCTAACATCAGTTTTGCTTAGTTGCTGAGCCCGTGAGTCGGGACTCTGCAGAATGACAGCTGATTCACCCACCATGGCTGCCAATGGGCAAGCCGACGCTCCTCTCAAATCCAAGGACTTCGACTACTCCGCTCCTCCCCCCTTCACCTTGTCGGATCTACGTAACGCCATTCCCAAGCATTGCTGGGTGAAAAGCCCCATGCGATCGCTGTCTTACTTCGTTCGTGATTTTTTTATCGTTTTCACCCTCGGTGCCGTGGCGCTGTACTTCGATTCATGGACCCTGTGGCCTCTCTATTGGTTCGCTCAGGGAACCATGTTCTGGGCTCTTTTCGTCGTCGGCCACGACTGGTATGTCGCTTGATCATCCGGTGATTGCGCTGATATCGAGATCTGGGTGTCTTACAGTGATACTCACTTGTAGTGTCTCATTTTCAATGCAGTGGTCATGGAAGTTTCTCGGACAGCCGCAGTCTCAACGACATCGTTGGGCATCTCAGTCACGCGTTCATCCTCGTCCCTTACCACGGGTGGTGAGTTCGTCATTCAGGTTGCAAGGAAAAACCGTGCTGCAAGCTTTGAAGCTTAATCTGATTTCGCTACGACTGCTGCATGCTTCAAGGCTTAATCTGCTTTCGCTACGACGTTGCAGGAGGATAAGCCATCGCACACACCACGCTAACCACGGCCACGTCGAGAATGATGAGTCCTGGTATCCGGTAAGGACTGCACCATGTCACAAACCTAGATCCATCTTCAGTGTCTAGCGTGTCTTCAGTGACGTCACTGACGCCTTCCCATGCTTTTATCAGATTACGAAGGAGGTCTATGAGCAAATGGACATTGGGTCCAAACTCGCGAGGTTCAAATTCCCGTTTCCCCTCGTCGCCTTCCCGTTCTACCTGGTATGTGCCCCTGGTCGCATTCCCGTGAATTCACTGTCGCGTTCGCTCCGACCCCTCCTCCCCTCTGCTGAATTCAGTTCGTGACACTGACATGTGCTCCCTTCTCAGTGGTTGCGCACTCCAGGCAAGAAGGGATCCCATTTCGACCCCAAGTGCGACCTGTTCACGGAGGCCGAATACAACGACGTTGTCACCTCGGCAACGTGGTGGTGGGGCATGGTCGCTCTCTTGGCCGCTCTCTCGGTCACGTTCGGGCCCCTCGTCATGTTCAAGCTCTACTTCATGCCGTACTGGGTGAGTGATCCATCAATGAATGAACCTCTAGACCAAGTCGAAGAAGTGAAAATCTAACCGAACTTGTTGCCCTTGTGCGTAGATTAATGTGATGTGGCTCGACCTGGTCACCTACCTTCATCACCATGGATACAACAAGAAGGTTCCGTGGTACAGGGGGAAGGTACGTGACTTCCTTTGTTCGAGTTATCAGCTTTAGCACAATCCTCGTGGCGTGCTGAAAGTGGGATTTCTGCTCTGCAGGAATGGTCGTACCTGAGGGGAGGCCTATCAACTATTGATAGAGACTACGGGATGTTCAACAAGATTCACCATGACATTGGAACGCACGTGGTGCATCATCTGTTTCCCCAAATTCCCCACTACAACCTGACAGAAGCAGTAAGTGCTTGTCCCTGCATCCAGTTTGACATTCCCCTTGTTTAACTCATGGAACTGCATGCCTAACCCCTTACTCCTGCTGGTTATCATCCAGACGGCGGCCATCAAGCCTATTCTTGGAAACTACTACCGCGAACCAGAGCCATGCAAGGGCCCCTTCCCTTTCCATCTTCTAGAGCCTTTGGTAAAGTCTTTTGGTGAGGACCACTTTGTGGCGTCTGAGGGAGATATCGTCTTCTACCAGAAGAGCCATGAGCTGTAAAGCTATGGTCAGATGAGGACGAGAAAGGGCTGTGATAGCCTGGAAGAGCGTAACCCGGTAATATTTAAGTAGTTGGTTGAGAATATCTGGGTTGCGTGTGTGTATTCTTGAACCAATAAACTACACATTCATTCGTCAAAACATATTGGGTCCCTTTGGAGTGCTAACTAGCGTCGAAACTGTAGAAACGATGCTGTGGGAACAAGTGAGGAAGGCAAGGGCCTGGTTTATCACTCATTTACTCGATAGAGAGTCACAGATATATATACTACAGTACCGTATTATTGGTCTGGTTGAGTTGGTTACGGAGAAATTGTCCAGCCTCCACATGGGGCAAAAATACCGTAGCTTCCACGGGGGAGGCCATAGCCGGAATGAGGGTACCAGACTGGTTGAGTTAGGGTGGAATTGTCAAGCCTACCGTATGCCGCTGCAGCAATCGAACGGGTGAGCCATTTTAAGGCATATCATGCAGGTTACAGTTCCCAGCACCAGGGCCCACAAACCAGCCTAAACCCGTGAAACATATTATCGGTACTAGTTCCGTGTTATGCAAGAAACTGTGTGCATGATCCCTCTGTCAGAATGAGGAATGGATGTTGCATTGATGTTGGTTGGGGTACATATGACAAACCCTAACTTCTGTACCCCCAAAGACAAACCTCACTACAGGCTACAACATTTGACACACCCCCATAGCCTAAGTGAGGGGTGTCTAGCAAAAACAAAAAAAAGAGTACGGTCACAAGACCAGTCCAAAAGAAAACAAAGCTCAGGGTGGATCACAACGTCACCACACACTCTGAGCACAAGCAACAGTGGCCACAAGGCCAGTCCAAGAGATCACAAGTATATATAGTAAGTGTACAGACGAAGCAGGCAATAAACTCAAGTCTACGCATGACTAGAACCTGTGTCAACAAGGCCTAACTGCACACAACACCTCTGGTGGTCACAAGGCGGAAGCGCCTTGGTGAAGATGTCTGCAGTGTTGGCCTCGGACTCTACAAACTCGAAGCGAGCCTGTCCACGCCTCTACAACTCTCGCAGAAGAAAGTACCTGACGTGAATGTGCTTCACTCTGCTCTCCAGTCGCGGCTCACGACAGAGGAGGATCGACGCCTTGTTGTCAGTAAACAAGGTCGGTGCAGAGCTCGGCCGCTCACCAAGGTCGGCGAGCAAGAAGGTCAACCACCGCAACTCCTGTGCCGCCATGGCACCAGCGTAAATCTCAGCCTCAGCTGTAGAGGTCGAGACAGAAGAGGAGCGCGTGGAACGCCAGGAAACAGCTCCAGAACCCAGACTGAAACAGTACCCCTGAGTAGACCTGTGAGTCTCAGCGTCGTCAGCGTAAGAGGAGTCACAGTGACCAGTGAGTACGACAGACTGCTGCCCTCCAAGAACTAGCCCCACGCCTGATGTAGTCGCTAGGTACTTCGCCACCCTCACAGCTGCCGTCCAGTGAACAGGACGGTGTCTCCCTGGCGCAACAAAGCGCGCAAGGATGCTGAGAGGGAAGGCGAGGTCCGGGCGAGTACAAGTCATCAGGTACATGAGGCAACCCACAAGCTCTGCGTAGGGACCACTAGGCTCAAACGGCTCGTCAGGAAAGGGACCAGTGAGTCTGTGGTCAACAGCTAGAGGTGTGCGCTGTGTTGGGCTGAGATAGCCCCTTAGGATCTTTGCAAGGGATAACTCTAGGTGAAGTAGTTGTAATAGCGGAAGCGTTTAGTGAAGAATTTGAACCGACCTTGCACTGGTGTGTGAGAGCAAAGTTGATTGAATTAAACAAGCAAATACAAGGATTTATATAAGAGTACAGGGAATAGATAACTGTATTGCTGTTGCGGTTCGATATAGCGCGACTCGGGCAACTGCTCTGTAACGAGTCAGTTGTGTGTCCTTAACTGTCGCGCTGTAATTGTCGAGTCAAAGGTCAGCGACCTTTGACTTTCTCGTAACCTCCAGGCGGTTACCCTAACCTCCGAGGTTGACTCGATGCTTCGATTGGGACTGCTTCGCTTGGTACCTTGGATTTTGATACGACAGAAGCGCACTTAGGACTTATTGTTTCCAACACTCCCCTTCGCTTCTGGAGTGTTACTGCTGGTGACGTGGCCTTGTCCAGTCAGCATCATGCAGTATTCGAACTTCTGCTTGCCGAGTTTCTTGGTCAAGTAATCGGCTGCCATCTCGGATGTTGGACAGTATGACAGATCGAGTTTCCCTTTTTCTATCTCGTCCTTCACGAAGAAATAGCGCAGGGCGATGTGTTTCGTCCTGTTTGCGAAGCCGTTTTTGTTGGCGATGCGAATTGCTGACTGGTTGTCGCAGAACACGGTGAAGCTGGGTAACTCGGCTAGCTTCGCTTCTTCCAGTAGTTCGCGAAGGTAAAGTCCCTCCTTGGTGGCTGAGCAGAGTGCAATATATTCTGCTTCTGCTGAAGATAGTGCGATTAACTCCTGCTTGCTCGACTGCCAGGAGATAGGACCGATAGGCTCAAGGCGGTAGACATAGCCGGTGCGTGAGCGCCTGTTGTCGGTGTCGCCGGCGTGATCGGCGTCGACGTAGCCGATTAGCTTAGTCGGTGTAGCTGCGCTCTTGTGGTAGGTTAGCCCGATCGTCGCGGTGCTGACGAAGTAGTGGAGAGCGCGATCAAGTTCCGCCAGGTGTTCAGCTTCAGGCTTCTTGAGATAGGTGGCGAGCTGACTTGCGGAGTAGGATAAGTCAGGACGGCAGGTGACGGCGGCGAATAGCAGGCATCCGAGCTTCTTCTGATAGTCGCGTATGCCGGCGGGCTTGAGTAGAGTAGTTCGTTCCTTCTCGGTTCCTGATGTGTAGCGGTAGGGCGTGGAGATGGCGCTTGGTGTGAGGCTGAAGCGTTTCGCGATGGTGTCGGCGTATTTCTCGGCGCTTAGATAGATGGCGTTTTCTTCTTCGCGGATGTTGAGCCCGAGGTACTGTGTAACGGTGGAGGAGACCGTGAGCGTGAGGTCTTTCTGGAGCTCTCCTTCGAACCACGTGGCGATGCCGTCGGTTGACCCAATGTAGAGGAGATCGTCCACGTAGACGATCAGGAGAACGTAGTCGCTTCCCTTAGTGAGGCGGTACATGCCTTGGTCGTGAGGTAGTTGACTAAAGCCGATGCGGATGAGACGGGCGTGCAGGTACTGCTGCCACAGTCGCGGTGCCTGCTTGATCCCGTAGAGCGATTTAAGTAGTTGACAGATTCGGTTGGGTTCGCCGTGGGAACCGTGCGGGAGCTCGACGTAGATTTCTGCATCCACAGGTGCGTAGAGGAAGGCATTCGCGACGTCGATCTGCCGTAACTTCTTCTTCTTCATGGCGGCAATGGCGAGGAGAATTCGGAGTGACGTGTGGCGGCTGACTGGAGCAAAGGTCTCGGTGAAGTCTCGTCCTTGCTCTTGGTCGAATCCACGTACGACCCAGCGTGCTTTGAATTTTTCGATCGTGCCGTCTGCTTTCGTCTTGATGCGGAAGACCCATTTTCCGGTAAGGATGGTTTTGTTCCGTGCCACGCTTACGGGAACAACCTTCCAAGTGTTGCGTTCCTCTAATGCCTTCAGTTCTCTATCCATGGCTTCACGCCATTTCTCCCTGTGTTCCCCCCCCAGAGCCTGCTGAACCGTTGCAGGCTCCTTAGGAAGCGAGCTGCGTGCGTTCCCGTGGACTGCGGTGACGAGGCCGAGGATTTGCAGCCCAGTCTGTGAGTATCGAGGGAGTTCTGGATCCTCGGGATAAGCTGCTTCGTCTCCCGTTTCTGGGTCAGGCATGAAATTTGGCCCTACCCTTTCTGCTTCGTTGGTGTTGACTGTCACAGGTGTTACGTAACCATCGTCGGCGAAACGGTAGAAGATTTCGGCGTTGTTACTGTCGCGAGGATTATCCTCATCCATGGGCACGTCGACGGAGCAGTATGGGAGAGGTCCGGCTTCTTCTGAGGCGTTGTCGACGTTCTGTTCATCCCAGTCTGTTTCGTCCGCTGCTGACGCGAAGGCTCGGTCACCACGAAAACCACTGGTGAGGTCCCGATTCTCGTGCAAGTTGGCGAGGTACGTCTGAAGGGTGAGTCTTTCGTAGAAGATCACGTCACGTGCTGCTACTGTTTCCTTTGTGTGGACGTCGAAGATTTTCCATGCGTTGTAATTTTTCTCGGTGCCGAGGTGTAGTCCCCACTGTGCCCGTTGCGAAAATCTTCCCGCTCGTGCTTCTGGGGGTCTGTACTGTACCATGCACCCGAAAACTCGTAACATTTTCGTGCTGCCCTGCTTCCCTGTCCACAGCAGATGCGGTGATGCGTTGTTCGGGAGTGACGACGACGACAACAAGTTGTGTAGCATGACAGCGTGGTCCATTGCTGCTGGCCACTGGTGGTTGGGTAGCCGCATGCCACGTAATAGTTTGCGCATGCTGTTCTGCAGGGTCCTGTTCAGTCGTTCTGCAACACCTTGCTGCTGATGTGCGTAGGGAAGGGAGAGGAGTTGCTTGATCCCCTTTTCCGCCAAGAACTGCTTGAAGCGGTGAGAGGTGTACTCGCCACCTCCGTCTGACTGGAAATTTTTCAGTTGTGTTCCAGACTCTCTCTCTGCTATCGGTAGCCAGGCGGCGAATGCTGCGAGCGCCATGTCGCGGCTGGGTAGGTTGCGATGCCAGACGTATCGAGTGGCGGCGTCGATGAAGGTGATGGTGTAGTTGTAGTTGACTTGTCCTGGCTCGCGATTGTAGAGGATGTCGCTGTAGACTTTTTCGAGTGGTGCGTACGCTGGAGCGCTCGGGTTGTGATGTGAAGCAAACGGTCGATGAGGTAAGTCAGCTTCGGGACATATAAGGCAAGTCCCTCGTGCCTTCTGGAGTTCTCTGCCATCGGGTAGAAGTAGAGAATCTTTGTCAAGGACTCCTGCTCTTATCGTGTTATTCAAAACCGTGTTGCTTGGATGTCCTGTTCGTGCGTGCCAGATCTCTTCAGAGGCGCGGTGTCC